ATAATTCTTAGTAACTTATCTAAACATGTAGTAATTAAAGTTTTATCGCAAAAATAAGTTTAAAATACCAAAAACTCGTTTTTTTTTACTTTTTGATCTTTGACCTTTGACTTAACAATTTAACAAAAAGTTTAGTTTATTTTTTATCTCTCTCAAAGTAATAATAAACAATTCAATAAATCGTTGATTAATAGCTCAAAAGTCGACAATTTAAACGTTAAACGAGCCATTACCAAAAATTCAATTAAGGAATGGCCAGTGGTTTATAAATTTACTTACGCACCCAGAAATATCTGCTCGGCAGACGCATTTAATTTCGTACATACGGGAATGCGTAAGCGTTACGTAACAGATCAATTAAACGAGTTATTCGGACGAAATTTTCAAATTTATTGCGGGCCTCGATACATCGACATCAAGCACAAGAAAAGGTCAAACATTTCGTCCAAAAATAATATGTATGTCAAAGTATTGTTGATTAATAAAAACGCGTTTTCAGTCAAATTCAAGAATATTATTTGCGAAAATTGGTTAAAATATATTTGTTATACATTTTATTCGAATATTCGCACACCCATAGTCCATGGAGTCCTGAATATAAAACAGTGTATTTTTATATTTAAATTAATATTATTTTCGAGTTAAATTTTCTGACACAAATATTGGAACAATGCCAATTAATTTGATGTTAATCAGGTCCGGAAATGATATATTTATTGCCAATAAATTGTTTCGTATTATATAAAACATTCACGGTTTGATTCAAATGGGACACGTTCATGGGTGTGTCCCATTTGAATTAAACAAACAACCCATAACAGGAAACGATTGCGAATTGATAAAGTAACAAATCTGTTGGTAAAATTAAGTTATTAAGGAGGTTTTGGGCATTCATTGCGGGGAAAGGGGTATACATATATATTAGACTGCCAAAAAATCGCCTATTTCTTATAGTATATCGAAAATATTTTTTGGGGTGACAAAAAAAAATTATGGTGAAAGTTTGAGTCCATAATATTAATATTAGAGGTATATCATCGCAATTTTAGATTTTTTTTTCCTGATCGACAAAATTGACTTAAGAATATTTTTTGAAGAAAATTGAATGTTCTATAAAAAAGGTTTGATTGGAATTTCCCGTCAGATGAACCGTTTTCCTTGCCTTAAAAGTTGGTATAGTTTTACAATTTGATCTTTTAACTTTGGAATTTTGTAATTCATGTAAAAATCAGTTTACCGGGTATACCAGGGAAAAACCGATAGATATTCTTATGGGAAATCAAATGCTCTACAAAAAAGTCTCTAACATTTTTGGCTAAATTCACTCCATCAAAAGTTATTCAAGGTTAAATTTGAAGTCAAAAGGAAATTCTTGTTTTTTCCGCTCTAGATTTTTTTTTGGGTCAGTTAAAAACTTGAATTATTTTCTCCATGATAATCTTTGTGTTATTGATAATATTACTGAAAATTAAAAAAAAAATAACACATTAAAGTTTTTTCGCTTTAAGAAGGTATTTTCTTTAGAAAATATTATTTTCACTGTTACCTATTTAATCGTTTAAATAATAACAATCATGTTGTTTTTTTTTATTGGAAATTTTTAATTAGTTATATACACATTTATAAAAAAAAATCAAATTATCACCCATAAAAAAATTAATCTACAGAGGAAAAAACAAGAATTTCGTTTTGACTTCAACTTTAACCTTGAATAACTTTTGATTGAGTGAATTTAGCCAAAAATGTTAAGAGGCTTTTTTTGTAAAGCATTTGATTTTTCATAAGAATATTCATCGGTTTTTTCTGGGTACTGATTTTTACATGAATTACAAAATTCCAAAGTTAAAAGATCAAAATGTAAAACTATACCAATTTTTAAGGCATGATTTTAAGGAAACGGTTCATCTGACGGAAAATTTCATTTTAACCTTTTTTGTACAGCATTTAATTTTCTTAAAAAAGTCAATTTTGTTAAACTTAATAGTTTGGGAGCAAAAACTTGCCGAGGAAAAAAAATTTAAAATTGCCATATTAATATTATGGACTGAAACTTTAACAATAATTTTTTGTCACCCTAAACCATATTTTCGATATACTTTTCAAAAAAAAAAATAGTTGATTTTTTTGGCCCAGTCTAATATATATGGTAACACAGTAACGTGAATTAAAAAAACTAAAAAAATAGGATTTAAACGCGAACTGTTGCTTTTGACAGTTGCAGTGACATTTTTTTATGCAGTGTTATTTGAAATCTTAAAATGACTTGTGAAAACGAATTATTATGTTCTGTGAAACGATTGATGTCAACTATAAAGAAAAAATTATTAAAAATATGAAAACCAAAAATAAAGCAGGTTGAAGGCAGAGAAAGTCTCGAGAAGAGCAGAAAACGAAGATAAGAAAACCTTAAAAGATAAAATTATTAAAAAAAAATAACTTATAATAATAATGGGTCTTTTCATCCCAAATCGACCAGTCAAAAATGGTGGGTGGTTATTTTTCAACGAAATTTTTTTTACAGTCTCTCTACCGAAATCGAAGTATTTTTTCTTTTTTGCTTAAATTTGTTTTGGTTACCCGTAGGAAATTTTTGAAAAATGAACAGAAACATCGATTTTTTTCTTTTTACCAGTGACATGTTTTCTTAAAAATGCGACAACTTGGCCAAAGCAGTTTCGATCGTTACAATTTTTTATTAATTGTAGGTAAATACAGAAAAAAATATAAAAAATTAAGTGAATTTACTCAATGTTTTTTTCTAAGAAGGCAAAACAATAATTTTTTACTCGGAAACCAGACGGACAATTTTTCTAAAACTTTGTAAATGACTTTTAAGTAGACTCTAGAATTTTACTCACAGCAACTAACGTCGTGCACGAACCTTTATAACATGTACCTAAGTGATAAATTTGACATTTCGTAAAATTGATTATTGCGAGAAAATGCTTGTTACGAATCTCGCTAATTTTAGTTTAGAATATAAATCATTGTCATTTCTGTATTTCCTGAATTTACTTACATAACTTTATTTACTTCAATGGTTTAATTAAATCAAGTACCCAAGCAGGCCCGTTCCTGGCGAGCGTGCAGTGCGTGCACGCACGCAGGCGCAACATTTTGGGGGCGCAAAATCAAGGAGTCAATCAGTACTTTGTAACGATAAACTTTCTTGCATATAATACTTAAACATACATAGGATAAAGGTTACCGCCCTTTTTTTGCGCTATAAAGCGCCTTTTGCCGCTTTGATATTGGCGGCTTATTTTTTTTATACGAGGATCAAAATAAAAGGAGATAAATGCATTAATGGTCATAATATTTTTAGTATTTGTTTGATAGTTGCAGTTAACGGTAGCAAAGTAGCATGACTTTGTAACGAGCTTACTCTCTAAAATAGAATTAGTCAAAAATGACTAATTCAATTAGTCTAATTGCCATAGCGAAAAAGCAGCGACTAATAATTATCGTCAATAGAAAAAGTCAACTCCTATGTAAATTTAAATTGTCTGCTGAATCCGAAAATGTTGTCAAAAGTTTATAACTAGTAGTAGAACGTTTTTGAGATTCAGTAAATTATCCATATAATATGGAATTGACTGTATCTTAAAAACTGTTTTACTTTCATAATTTTACATAATAATAAGCTGTAAAATGTCCGGGATACAAATTGCTGTGGACTAAAGTTATTATAATTAATAACTTTAGTCCACAACAATTTGTATCCCTATAGTGACTATACTGTCACTATAGTCACTACAGCGACTGCTTTTTTACTTTTAAAACTAGTCATTTTTGACTTATTCAATTTTAGACAGTATACGTTACTAAAAACCAGTTGTAGTTATTATATTGTTTAAATTGTTTTTTTTGTTTTCTTTAGAGTATTTTTACCACTGAATATTTTTTGTATTTCGTAATTTAATAAATATTTAATAAATACTTAATTTAAGCGTTTTTTTTTTTTTAATTTTCAATTACATATTGTCAGTTTGTCGCAAAATATATATTTTTTTTAATTTAAGGGCTTAAAATTAAAAGATTTAATGTATTATATTTAAATATAAAAGGGGCGCACCAACGAATGCTGCACGTAGGCGCCAGATACCCCAGGAACGGGCCTGTACCCAAGTATGTGTTAGCAACTGTTTGGAAATTTTATAAAAATTCTCTCAAATATCTATCTACATTGCGATAAAATATAAAATTGACCATTGACCATTGAAATAGTTAAAAAATAAGGAAAATAGAATAAATAATTTGAAAACGTAAGAAAATTAATATTTTAAATATTATACGCCTTTCATGGAAATTAATGCCTTGTTCAATATTCAACCAATTAGTGTCAATTAATTAAAATCAACGCTTAATACGTTTCGTGTTTTAATTACGGCCTGGCTGTTTTATTAATTTTTATCGACCGTATAATCTGACAATAAAGTTTTTGAATTAACATAAATTATTTCAAAATTATTTAAAATTAAATACTAAAATAATAGGATTTCAAAACGTAATAAATATTACAAAAATTATCTAAAATAACTTTGTATAAACACACATGTCCAAACAACGATAAACATTTATGATAATTGATTGTGTTTTTATTTTGCTTTAACATTGCTTTTGACTAAGTGGTTTTAAGATTGTTTAATCTTTTAATGCTTGTTATTTTTTTTGCAAAAGCTTTTAAAAAGATTTCGTCATCACCAAACGTTTTGCATGAAAAAAGAGACATACCTCAGGCATATGGCCCAAAAAGTCGTTTTTGTGAAAAATATCCAGTCGTTGTGACAAGATTTAAAATTATTTTTCATAGGCCAATAAAATAGGACTTGCAAATTTCTGAACGTAATTTTACACTTCGCATTTCTGCTTAAATGTGACTAACATTTCCTAAATAAGAATACGTAGGTTTGCAATGCATAAAGTAAAACGTGTCCTTTAGACATAATAATATATATAATAATTAAACTAAACTAAACTAAAGTTAATATTTTTTTCAGAGATTTACGATTTAACAAAATAAAGGAAGTTACGCCAGGCACCTTTAAAGGGCATCGCGATTTAAAATCAATATTACTCAACAATAATTTACTGACCGGTATCAAAAATGGCACTTTCGAAGGCCTACACAACTTGCAGTATCTTTATTTGTATAAAAACAGGATTAAACACGTCGAACCAGGAGCGTTTCATGGCCTACTGAAACTGGAAAGACTGTAAGTAAAAAAACATGTTTTCGGTCAAAAAGTTATTATAAAGTATTTTTTTATTTGAGGTATCTTCAAAATAATGACTTGCAAGTACTGCAACCTGGAATTTTTTCGAATTTACCTTCCCTGGACAGACTGTAAGTATATCGAAACGAAATTATATAAAGGGTGGGCCATTTTTATGTTGAATTATAAAATAGCAATGAGAACAAGAAAAACTGATTTTTTTTCAACGAATTTTGCTTTATTTGATACAATGTTTCTTCCGATTAAGTATGGAAAATGATTTTATTTAAGTGGCCACCTCAGCTGGCTCGGCAGTAGCCCATCCTGGAACACCAATTTTCGAGCACTTTGTCAAAAGTTTGCTGCTCTATTTAAGCATTTTGAGCTTGAATGTTTTGTTTTAAATGATGAATAGGCTTTGTTACGGCGACGTGTGGATTTTCCGTGGCCCAAATCCTACAGTTTTGCTTGTTGACATAACCTCCGAGGTGCGCCTTATCCGAAAAGATGATTTTTCTTGCAAAATTAGGGTCATCGTTCAACTGGTTTAAAGCCCACTCAGCAAAGCGAAAACGTTGTGGATGGTCAACTTGCTTTAACTCTTGAACAAGCTGGACTTTGTATGCAAACAAACCGAGGTCTTTGTGCAGAATCATCCTCAGAGTGGTACGGGAAAGGCCGAGTTGTTGACATCTGCGCCGAGTTGATGTTGACGCGTTCATGCGTACATTTTTGGCCACAGCAGCAATTGCTCCAGGTGTACGTCTAGGACGAGCATGCGAAACATGTTTTATGTCCACCACACTGAAAAAAGTCAGTATTAATTTTTAAGTTGTAGGTGAATTTGAGGCCAACCTTTTAATATTTAAAACACTGTCTATAAAAGTTAAGAACCGTAATTAATTTAATGAAACATTCAATATTATTATAATAAGTGTTTCCTAACATTTAACTCGTAGAGCATTTGGGTATATGAATTTAATGTAACCCTGCGTGTCTTTATTATTAAGACAATTTTCTTTAGGGTAAATATATAAACATTTATTTATATTGGAAGTACTTGTTTCTTTATTGTTATGAATTCAGGGATTTTATTAAATAATCAAGCTATTATTGTTATAGGTTATATAGGAATAAAACTATAATGCACAATGAATTTATTTTAACGTTAGTATTCGTTGTTTACATTCCTTGCAAGCATCAGAAAGAAATCATAACCTATAACAACAAGTTGGTATTGCGTCATTGGTACGAGAGCCTCCATGCAGATACTTTGTACGTTTTGTCGGTTTCATAAAACAGTTTTTTGTGTTTATGGTAAAGAAAAAATGTCATGTAAGGAGCAACTGGAGGGTTTAGGTCTATTCCCAAATTCGAAGGTAAGTGTTTAGACCTCATGTAAATTAATTTGGGAAAGGTACATTTGTGATAGGTGATTTTTTTTTATTATTTAGAAGAAGCCATTACGCTTGATTTGCTGCTAGTCCTCGACTCGCAAAGTGTTTTCCAACTTATTTCTAAATTAGGAGAGAGATTTGCAGTCATCAAAAAATTACAGAGTTACGAGATAAGCAGGAGCAATTAATGATCTTTTATCAGGTATAATTTTTGTTAACTGTTTTAAAGATGTGGTCAGAGTCGTTCGGCATTGGCCGTATGCGACAGTATTAAATTTCGGCCGATCAAGGTGCAGCCTAAGAGTATTTATTTAGTCCATTTTGTATTTTTATATTCTATAAAATATATTCCTATATATCCTATAGGATATAATAAAATTGTTTAAAAATATTATATGCACATTTTATTTCTCATCAATCAAACAAAAAGTATGAAATTCAGGCTATACATTAGTATACATTAGTCAAAAAAATTCTATAGTGGAAATGCAAAACGTTGCCAAATCAGCGGATTTTGAGATTTTGTTATTTATGTGGTCTGTACTTTTGTATCAATAAACATTTTTTTGTCTACTTAAAATTATTCAAGTGCTAACATAAATACAATTTTGATAAAACAAAAAAAATAATACCCAAGTACATGTCTGCAGATCAAAACAAAATCTCGCAATCCGATAATTTGGTACTTAGTTTTGCATTTTCACTTTAGTACATATTACCTAAAAATGCTGTTTGCTAGCAGGCTCCAAGCATTAAATAATAAGACATTGTTTTAACAACAAATACATTTAATGTGTTTCAAAAATAAGCCTATTCTAGATGTTAAGGCAACTCGATGTTTACTTAAAGTAATGATGCAGTTAAAAATAACTCAACTAACTTTCAATATTTCAAATCCACCATGCATTTATATCAAATGCACGTTTCTTAGGCCATATCCGAACCCGTAACTACTTCACCACAAATGCATAGCGTTTATATTTAATGCTAAGTTTTTTCAGTGCAGCATCCCATTTCTGCGAAATTTTTTGATCAAATTTTTAATACTTTGGTTTGACGGCGCCTCATTTCTTCCTTACGCAATTTTCTTGCCGTCTCTGCGATCACAGTCACATTCAAAGTAAGTTTTGAGTATTTCGAAACGTTGATCCAAATTTATTCGGTGCATATTTTGTAATTGGAAGGTTAAAACTAAACCACTATCAGCAATTCATGGCGCTTAAGTTAAAAGCTTCATTAATAGCACGTAGTTTAAAATTCAACTTATAGATGGCCCACCCTTTATTATAATGCAACAAGATATCCGGCAGATGTTGTGCAAGCTTAATTTTTCAAAAACATTATTTATTAAATGCAACGCAGTAGCCATAACAAATTGCCAACCAAAGCCAATCCCAAGATAGTTACACTGTGTGTTTTAAATCGTTTTTAATAAAACTGTTCCACAAGGTTTCAAATTGCGCCCACTAACATTTCCTGATTATTATCCTGTTAATAAAACTAGAAAAATATTTCCCTAAAAGTGGTTTATGTTTTTAGAAATTTATACAACAACCACATATCCCACATACCTCCGAAAACCTTTGATAACCTCCCGAGGCTCACCAAATTACGATTGGACCATAACGCGCTTATATGCGACTGCGAGTTGCTTTGGTTCGCAAAAATGCTAAACAACAACGAAATACAGGGAAGCGCACATTGCAAATACCCCAGCGAAATGTACGGGAAGGCACTTAATGAGATGGACGTCAAAGATTTCCACTGCAGTAAGTACTACTACAAAACTAATAACCAAAGGTTTAACGTTTATTATTGTTAATCAGAACCTCCTGAAATCATGGAAGGACCTCACGACATTGAAATTTCCTGGGGGAAGACAGCCGTGTTCACGTGCAAAGTAAAATCGGACACCCAAGCGAATGTTATTTGGATGAAGGACCAAGAAGAACTAGGAAACAACGACAAATACAAAATAATGGAGAATGGAACTTTGATGATAGAAAACAGCGATGAAAGTGATGGCGGAAAATACGAATGTATGGTTAAAAATCCGGAAGGCGAAGTCAAATCAAGACCAGCTAGGATGATAGTGGTTAGAAGGGAAGCTGAGGTGGTTACTCAGGGATACAGTAGGTATTTTTATAATTTTTATTAAATATTATACCAAAATATTGTTTTAGATTCATATTCACCCAAGATCATAGTACCACCAGAAACCATAGAAACCACCCCGGGGAACCATGAGGTAACTTTGAGATGCGAAGCAACTGGTTTTCCGCAACCAACTATTTCCTGGTCGAAGAATCGTGTAAGATTATCCCCTTCCTCAAAACACAACATCCTTAACGATGGAAGACTAATAATAAGACCTGTAGAAGACAGTGACTATGGTACATATAGATGTGACGCCTCAAATTATAACGGACGGGAATCTGCTGAAGCGGATGTCATCATTAACGGTAAAACTATTTCTTTTTATACCGTAAACACGGGTGACTTTAACCCATTTATGAAAAATCTTTTCGAGCTCGATAAAATTAACATTTATAATTTGTTGGTCTAAACCTGTCAATTGAGCGATTCTATTGAGTTTATATTACAGGAAAATCAGTGTTTTAAAGAAAGAAATGGGATTTATTACACTTTAAAATTGTATATATCGTATCAGTGCAAAACTCTTAGAAATACACGCGTTACAATTTCTATATTATGCGCAATCCATTGGAATGATGATCCTTGGTTAACTACAGGTCGATTTTTTATTTTTTTTATTGGTAATCCCTTGCAATAGATATATGTCGCTGCTAACACGTGTCTAATTAAAATAAAATATAATATTACATTCATTTTATACTGAAAAAACACTGTGAGACAAAGTAACCCGCAACCAGGGGGTAACTTTGCACACCCAGTTTTTAAGGTTTATTTTTGAAACTCAGCCCTATGTAATATTATAACATAGTTATTATGAAAGAGCAACTCAAGACTCAAATTTTGGTATACAAAATTTAATGCTTATGATTGTTAAAACCACAAAAATTTTAAGCTAAAGTTTGAAAGTGAGCCAAAGCCACCCGTGTTTACGGTATTACATTTTCACACTCTTTGTTTCAGTGTCTCCACGTTTTACTGTTAACCCGGAAAATCAGGAAGTAGACGTCGGGAAAACGGTCAGACTGGAATGCGTGGCAACTGGCAGCCCAAGCCCTCAAATAACGTGGTTCAAAGGCGACCAGCGCGTGAACCCAGACCACCACTTGAAAATTTTCGACGGAACCCTGGAAATATTCGACGCCCAACTGCAGGACTCTGGCTTGTACATCTGCGAGGCTAGGAACAGCCTGGGTTACAGCGAGGTGAGCGCCAAGTTGGCTGTGCAGCCACCGGTGGAAAGCAAAAAGCCCAAGTTGATTTACAAGCCCTACAATATGGAGGCTTTGATAGGGAGCACGATAGAGTTGCCTTGCAAGGCTGATGGAGACCCGACGCCGGGAATACAGTGGAGTAAAGATGGACAGACCATGCAGCGTACAGGACGCTTCAGGGTTTCTTTGGATGGAAATTTGTATATTTACAAACTGGCACTGGAAGACCAGGGTAGATATGAATGCAGCGCCATAAACGACCGCGGTAGGGACACCGCATCTGGTTACGTGACAGTAAAAGAAAACAATAACCCCAACGATTTCGGCATCGGTGATAAATTCGTGAAAGTCGCATTTCAAGAAGCCACGGGTGAAATCGATAAGGCCATCAACAACACCATAGACAATTTGTTCCATAAAAAAGGCCCGCATAGTTCTTCCGAACTCTTCAGACTTATCAGATACCCTGATGCGCCAGCGAGAGAATTGGCTAGAGCTGCGGAAATCTACGAAAGAACCCTTTTAAACGTCAGGAAACACGTGGAAAAAGGTACACACATGGACAACCCGACCGATTTCAAGTACAGGGAAATACTATCTAAAGATCATCTGGATTTGGTGGCCAAACTGTCAGGTTGCACGACGCATCGCCTTACCAGGAACTGCTCTGACATGTGTTTCCACTCCAAATATCGCAGTATAGATGGCACGTGTAATAACCTGCAAAACCCGACGTGGGGTGCTTCTCTTACAGGCTTCAGACGTATTTTGAAACCCATATACGAAGACGGTTTTACAACACCAATAGGCTGGGACAAATCCAGGAAGTACTTCGGTTACCCTAAGCCGAGTTCGAGATTGGTCTCGACGAGTTTAATAGCCACGAAAAAAATAACTGCAGACAACGAGATTACGCACATGGTAATGCAATGGGGTCAGTTTTTGGATCACGATCTGGACCATTCTCTGCCCTCGGTGAGTTCGGAAAGTTACGATGGCATAGACTGCAAAAAATCGTGCGATTACGCTGCACCCTGTTACCCAATGGATGTTCCGCCAAACGATCCGAGAGTAACAAACCGTAGATGCATAGATTTTGTACGGACGTCCGCCATATGCGGATCGGGAATGACGTCGATATTTTTCGACGAAATCCAGCCTAGAGAGCAGATTAACCAGCTGACATCGTACATCGATGCGTCGCAGGTCTACGGGTTTTCCGAAGAGTTGGCCAAGGATCTGAGAGACCTAAATGCCGATGGAGGGAGATTGAAGGAAGGCGTGATATTCCCGGAGAGAAAACCTCTGCTACCGTATGCTGCAGGCCCGGAAATGGACTGCAGAAGAAACTTATCCGAAAGCGCCTCGATTAATTGCTTCCTAGCCGGCGATATCAGAGCCAACGAACAGTCGGGTTTAATAGCTATGCATACCTTGTGGATGCGCGAGCACAACAGAATAGCCAGGGAGCTGAAATATCTCAACCCACAGTGGGATTCGGATATGCTTTACTACGAATCGAGAAAAATTGTAGGGGCCGTAATGCAACACATAACCTACAAGCACTGGTTACCGTTCATCATAGGCGATCAAGGCATGAAGATATTAGGCGAATACAGAGAATACAACCCGCGACTAAACCCAAGTATCTCCAACGTGTTCGCCACGGCCGCCCTAAGATTCGGACACACTCTAATCAACCCAATCCTGCACAGGCTAGATTGGAACTTCAAACCCATCAAAGAAGGTAACCTCCCTCTGCACAAAGCCTTCTTCTCTCCATGGCGGGTGGTGGAGGAGGGAGGTGTAGATCCCCTGCTAAGAGGTCTCTACACAATCGCGGCGAAAATGAAGAAACCCGACGAGAATCTAAACGAGGATCTCACAGAGCGCTTGTTCGAAACCGCCCACGCTGTAGCTCTCGATCTAGCCGCCACGAACATCCACAGATCCAGAGACCACGCCATCCCAGGATACTTGGAGTTCAGGAAGTTCTGCAACATGAGCCCTGCAGAGTCTATCGAAGATTTAAAGGGGGAAATATCCGACGGAAACGTCAGACGGAAGTTGCAGGAGTTGTATGGGCACCCAGGCAACATAGACGTGTGGGTGGGGGGTATTCTGGAAGATCCGGTCCCGGGTGGCCGCGTCGGGCCTCTGTTCCAATGCCTGCTCATCGAACAGTTCAGAAGGCTACGCGACGGAGACCGTTTTTACTACGAAAACCCGTCGGTATTCAAACCGGAACAGCTGACGCAAATAAAAGAATACACCCTGGCTAGAGTTTTATGCGACAACGGCGACAACATTACGAGAGTATCGAGGAACGCGTTCGTGCTTCCGGAGCTGCAGGGCGGTTATACGGAGTGCTCCAAAATACCCCGGGCGGATTTGAGGATTTGGTCGGAATGCTGCAGCGATTGTCGTTACTCCGGTCAGCTGAACACGATCAGCAGGCTAAACGCTCGCAGAAATAGAAGAGATATTAGCTACAAAGATGAACCATTAATCGGCAACCTTCATCCTTTGGAAAATGAAGTGAACACTCTAAAATCGAAAATAAAAGATTTGGAAAAGGCTATGAGCGAGATTAAGGAACAATTAAACAGAAATTAAGTACCTACAACTCGCTTAATAGTAATAATACTGCCATACTTATTGATTTAACATTTTTAATGTGCTGTGCTTAAATTAATACTTATAAGTTTTTTAAACTTTTCACTTTCCACCCTTACTAGCACTAGTATTGTAAATTGTAATTAGATAATAAATATTGTTAATTAAAAGGATGTTTTATTGAGGAGGAAAATAATGTATAATAAATTAATATCAAAGTATATTAAAAAAATCACAAGTCCACATGGAATAACAACTATAAATTTGTCTGCATATTTGGTTATGAGTAGCCTAAATTTGGGATTTAATAAATACTGTTATAAATAAGGTTTGTACTGGAGCAATGTTATGCTCAATTAAGATCTTTGAAACCAGATTTCCAAATACTTCGTAAATAAAAAAAACCATAAAATCTGGATATCATTACCCTGATAAAAATTACAATAGCAACCGACTATTCAAATACGTTATCACAATAATTATAAAGGAATTACGAATTTAAATTTAAAGCACATTACAATCAGTTAAGGCAATCTTTATTAATTTATAGTAATCGAGGTTGAATTTTAAGTGTTGTGTTCATCTTTCAGTGCGGTAAGATGATTTTATTGTTGGGAAAGTTTTATACTATATTCGAGTAAATTAATTAATTGTAATTGAGCAAATTAAAAAATATAACAAAACATAAATTTGAGATAAAATACGATTGTAACAAACAAAAAAAGATTCTACTAAATAAAATAAATAAAAATTTCCTAAATTCACAAAAACGTTGCATAGAGGAACCAAATCAATATCAATTAATCTGAAACATAAAAAATAACTCAGTGTACAAGTAAGTTTAATTCCTAAAATATTATCTACTAACTTTTTAGTTACGCATACACGTAAGTCATCTCCTGGACGTCCTCTTCTTCCAGTGGTGCCAATCCTTCGGTAGGATGCGCATATTTGGTTTCATAATCTAATTTAAATTGTAAAATAAATTTACTGACGAACGTTTTTTCATTAAAGAAGCCCCCAAATACAACAAATTAAATATAAACATATAGAAACACTAATAACAAACAAGAGCTAAGGAAATACAACAAAAGTAAGTCTAACAAATAAAAAATATATTAATGAAGGTAAGTACTTAAAAACATATAATTTTTTTAAATAAAAACATTAACATTTACTATTATCTAAACTTAAGTACCTATCATTAAAATTATCTTTATAACATAATTAATTGCTTAATCATCAGCCAGTTGTAAATATTAAACATATTATTACGTTATCTATTCATATATTTTGTCATTTGCTAGACTTAATAAAAGAGTAACAAATAAAAGCTTAAATAAATAAAAAAGCCATTCTTTAATTTAGAAATAGTTATTGCATCCGTCACCTAACTCTACTATTCCAATAATACTGAAAATTTATTAACACAGCGTTCGACTAGCTTAAAAATAAATGAAAATGCATTTTTGTATAATTGGTACGATTATAATTATTTTTTGTACTTAAATATCAGTTAATGGTTAATAATAACACCCCAAGGAGCATTTTTAGTGGTAGAAACGGTTATATTATGTGGAAGTGACTAAAATAGGGAACACTTTTTAGTGTCAGTTTCGTTCCAACAACGTTCTTGAATTGTATAGACGCGTTTATACCACGTTGTAATTACATTACTAAAACGTAGAGGTGTAGTGGGCAAAACTTTACTTTCTATCTTCGTCTCTTTCCAGCATATTATTTATCTTTGCTTTTTCTGAGTGGCATAACCACTTCCAAGTAATAAAGTGATTTAATTTGGTTTGGTTGGCGTTACCATTCATAATCCACGTTAAAGTTTAGACAACTTTAAGGTGGTGTCAAAAGTGGTAATAACGTTTCAGATACCAGACTGATACCCCAAAAAGTTATGAAACTATGAAGTATATTCTGCTGGTGCAAATCACATGATTACAACTATGCTAATATAAAATGAAGATATTTCAACTATATCGTGATTGATTTAACGTAATTGCCACTCATTTGAAGTTGCGATATCAGTTTAATGCTACTTGGGCCTGAACTGAGTATGGGTCAAGAAAAAGAGAACACAGAGAATATCATTTTTGTAGAGGATACACAAAATACAAAATTACATACAACCATGGTACAAGAAAACAAGATATGTTCTTGCGCATCTGTTTCCACCACTCCATCAGATTGGCAAAGAGGTGGGAGCACCCAGTCGCCGCCATATTGACTATTTACATTTTGATGTAAGTTGTTTTTTAAGCTATTTTAAAGTTTTGTAAAAAGTGTAAAAAATGTCTACCTGCCAATAAAAAATCTGGAAAAACAATGTCAAAAGAAAAAAAATTGATGTTAGGGATAGTAAGTAGATTTATTTTAAAAACAATTAAATAGCAGAACTTTTTTTAGAGGTATGGTAAAGTAGACAGTTATCGGACACTTTATAGTTATTGGACAATTAACAGTAATACTGTAAAAACAAGAGTTCTATAAATAGTTACCTTAAAGTCAAATCATTAAAAGTGTACAGATCAGTGTGTGGTATAAATGTGTTCATGGTTTAAACATTGTCACTTTAATGCGTTTTAATTTTAATTCTGAAAACAAACAGTAAAATGGCCAGTGTCCAATTACTGGTTGGTAAAAAATGTAAATTTCTATTATTGGACATATGTCCAATATCATACTCTATTTGTATCCCGGACATTTACCAGCCAATTCTTATGTTTTGAGATATAGTCAATTCCATATTATATGTAAAATTGATTATATTTCAAAAACTATTCTACTTTTATAACTTTTGACGACATTTTCGGATTCAGCGAATAATATTTCACAGGAATTGACTGCTAAATATCCTGGATCCAAATTGCTGTTGACAAAAATTATTAGTGGCTGCTTTTTCGCTATGACATTTTTGACTAATTCATTTTTAGAGAAGAAATAATATAGTGATTTCTTCGTCACAGGACATCTTGCAGAATAACAGTGATTTAAATACAGTGCATGATAGAGAACATAAAAAACTAATGGCAACAAAATTAATAAATTCGGAAAATACTTTTAAGATACCACCCGAAAAAATATTAGATATATATAAATCTTCCTGTTCCGGCCTAAACATTATAAATGCTTCACAAACTAGAGATACCACACTTAATGATATTTGCAACAAACTATTTCAGAAGTCAGATCAAGGAATTAGTAGTTACCTTCAGAATCCAGAAAAGGGATGAGGAATCCGAGAAAGAAATATATGAATTATGATATTATTTATTATTTTATTATTATATAAAAATTGTATGCCCAATTACTATATAAAATGTCCAATTACTATACTTTTTTGCATGTTTTTATAAAACTCTTATTAAAAATTCAAATATTCTTATTTTTAAGTAAACGTAAATTAAGTTTAAACAAACAAACTATCCTTTTTATATAATATATATATTATGTATAAGAAAAAAACTAAAATCTTTAAAACAATTTAAATCATAGTTGTTTTTACAATGTACAAGAAATAGTACAAAACCAGGAAGCATAATATGATCTTTGAAGAACAGAAACAGTAACAGAAACTCAAACTCTAAGAAAACAAGTACTGCAGTGTGAGAAATTAAAATAAAAGGAAGTTAATGATCTTAACATTCCATAACAGAAACGGGAATGAACTAAGAACTGAAGAACATACCTTGTTTTTTGTACCATGCCTACAACTATTACAAAATCATTTCCTTACCATATGATATCGTTTTAAAAATATAGTCTAGTTTTTGGACAAAGGTACGTCTTTAAAAATGTATCCTTACTCCGAGGTATCACAGTAATCGTTAATATTATAATCAACAAGTATTGCCAGAGAGTAAAATGCAAAATCCTTTATTTTTACAACCAGAACAAACCTAATACATAAAAATACTGACATAGTGACCCTGGTGTGCACGCACAAGATTGCCTCGCAGATGGCAGCGTGCCCCCGAATCTTAGCTTGCCAACCCACCTGCCTCTTTGCCTTTACCTTTTCGCGACAACAAAAACTGAACGGACGCGTGCAGCAAACACGCGACGAGCGAACCTATCCCGAACATCCTGAAGCACATCGCGCCGCCGTGCTCCTTGAACAGGATCCCGGCCACGAAGCTGCCCAGAGACACGCCCACGCCCTCGAAAACCGCCCCCACCATGCCCTAAAACAAAACACACTCTGTTGAGATCTGTCGAATGCGCCCGAGACACGATACACAAAGAATTGTACGCTGGTTATGAAACGAAAACTCGCATATGACGTCACGTGCGAACCAGATTTAAATGTTACAAACAGTTTTGCATAGGCACGGGTTTTTACTACGATTTCTTTTGCGTTTTTCCGAAATTATTGTGTTTTTCAAAGTATAAGCCATTTTAAAAAATAATAATGGGAAGGTAGGAAATTAATTGTTGCTTAAAATATGTTACATTAGTATTATTGCTGCCATTGGATTGTGTTTTTTACCTAATTAGTAATTAGTATTAAATACTAAGTAAAAAACACAATCCAAAATATTTTTTATAGTCATTTGTCAAATTAAAACAATATTCGATAACAAAAATACTTTTACTCTAGGTATTTTATTTTATGTTAAAAATAAATATTTATCAATTTGTATACCGATTTTTTATTTCTGAATTAACATTTTTATGTATAATAATCCTTCAACTTCAATCTAATCTGACTTATCCACAAAATTTTCCAATTTTACTTTTTATGAAATAATGTCACACAACTTATGGTTTAGAGGTCACATTGTTTATTATATATGTTACGGCTAATGTGCAAACTTGGATAGTTTATAAACTAGCTGGATAGTTTATAAACTAGCCAAACTGTCAGCTATTTTAATTGAAAATTTATTTTCAACTAAATTAGCGGCTAGTTTACAAAATAACCAAGGATCTTGGCTAATTTACTTGAAATTATTAGGGAAACTAAAATAGCTATCCAATTCAGTTTGGCTAATATGAAAACCAAAATTTCTAGTAACACAAAATAGCCAAGCTTTAGCTAGTTTGTAAACTAGTGTGCAAACATTAGCCGTAACATATATATTATACATTTCACTGTCATATTATGACGCGTATTTGTCGTCTCCTGAAGAATTTTACGAATGTAGAATACAGCATATTAGAACGTGGGTATCTGACATATTTGGAAATATTCTAAGAACATTCCAAAAACGTATTCTTAAAATGTTTTAGGAAGGTTTTAAGAAACTAATTGCATCATTAAAAGGGTATCTATTGAATGTTTTAAAAGTCCCTAAGAACATTCTTAGCAATAAGGGAAGGTTCTAAGAATATTCCATTATTCCGGGTCATATCTTCTTAGAAGATTCTTAAAATCAAATTTTGCTATCAGGGCAGGCCGTCCCTATATTTATAAATGTTTGAATATAACGTGACTTTGCAGTGCAAATAGCATTCCAGATGTAGGTGTAATACTATATCTTACTACATCTACTTATCAAAAAATTGACTTACACCATATGGTTCATTTGTGAAAAGACTGGATTTGTAAACTACATTTGTGTATTTCCATTGTAACGGGTGCGACACTAAAACTACGTTAATATAAAAAATAGTATAAAAAATTAGGTATTGAACTCAAACAAAATGTCAATAAAAACTTGTATAGAAAACCTTTTATAGCGTCATGAATAGCGTAACGGGCGCGCCCTTAGAAAATCGGCAAATGCGACCAAGTTGGCTTCTAAAGTTGATACTGTAAAATTTTGTATGAAAGCATATAGTAATAACTTTTTGTGTAAAACTTGAATAGTAACCTTAAACAAGCACGTATTTTAAATGCACAAATATTGTATACTTTATTTTTTTAAATTTTCTCAAAATGTAACGGGTGCGACATTTGAACATTTTATCGAGTATTGAAACTCTTCCGTGTTTATTCTTAATGTTAGCAGGTAATAACTGAAGACAATTAAAGTTAATTACATTTATCAAATTAAGGCAAAATTCACCTGTTAATCATGCCCAGAAAAATTTCTTCAACCATCACATGTGCTGGCTATATGAACCTCAATTGATGACGCAAATGATGTATATATCCGTGCATACGTGCGGATTACAATCACGTTGTGACTGCATAATGTTATATGGGTAGCTATAACATTAGCATACCGGATTTTGTGTATCGTGCCCCGAGATGCTTTTCTTACCTGCATGGTGGCTTCGGTGCCAGGTGGCGCCACTATGCTGGCGTAGGAAGCCATGGTGGAGTAAAACAACCCGAAAGTCAAACCGTTGCTCAACTCTATGGGTAGAAACCACCACGGGTTGGGGATGACGGAGTACAGTATGAACCGCAAGCCCAAAATCAAAAGCACCAAGCTCATGGCGTGCACGTGGCCGATCCTCTTCAAGATGGCGCCCGAGAGGAAGAACAGCGGCAACTCCCCGAGTAGGCACTGTATGGCGGACACGAGGCCTTCCAAGGTTTTCACGTTGGATTGCATGTCCTGGGCTTTGGCTAAATCTTCGATGAGCCAGAACAGGAAGTTCCACACCAGAGACGTGCAAAGACCGACGAAAACGCACCACAGCAAGAACACGAAAATCCTGACGTCCATGAGGAGTTTGGCGACGTCTTTGAGTATGCTAGGCGACCGTTTTTTCTGAGTGTACTGAAATAACGTCAATAACACCATGTTTTTTTGTTAGGTTTCACTTACTGGTAGTCTATAGGATACACCGAAATCCAGTAAGAGAAATACAGTTGACAAGTAGAAAGCCCAAACGTAATTCTTAATGGCCGAACCCTCGCTGGTTGCGTCTATTATGAATCCGACTAGTATCGATATTATACCCCATCCCAGTGATCCAAAACACCTTTGGTGGCCATACCTTTCAGGTCTATCACCTTAATAACAATAATAACTTTTTGTTTGAAATTTGTAGATAATGGTTTCATATTTTTTTAAACCCCCTGGACAAACACCCTCTAAAATTGTTTATTAACACTACGTTTCAATTGCTAGTAGATCTGTAAGTTTAAAAAAAGAGTTAAAGAGTTAAAACAAGAGTTAAAAAAAGTTAAAAAAGAGTTAAAAAAATAGTCGATCTGCAATCGTTATCAAGTGAATTATTCACTTGATAACGATTGAAAAAAGAGTTTAAGAAACAGTTAAAACAAGAGTTAAAAAGAGTTTAAAAAGAGTTAAAAGAGTAAAAAAAGAGTAAAAAATAGTTAAAAAGAGTTTAAAAAGAGTTAGAGTAAAAAATAGTTAAAAAAGATTTTAAAAAAGAGTTAAAAAAAGAGATGTAGATCTGCAATCGTTATCAAGTGAATTATTCACTTGATAACGATTAAAAAAAGAGTTTAGGAAACAGTTAAAACAAGAGTTTAAAGAGTTAAAAGAGTAAAAAAAGAATTAAAAAAAGTTAAAAAAAAGAGTTAAAAAAGAGGTAAAAAAGAGTAGTAGATCTGCAATCGTTATTAAGTAAATTATTCACTTGATAACGATTGAAAAAAGAGTTAAAGAAAGAGTTAAAACAAGAGGTAAAAAGAGTTAAAAGAGTTAAAAAAGTTTAAGAAAGAGGTAAAAAATAAGAGTTAAAAAAGAGGTTAAAAAAAGAGTAGTAGATCTGAAATCGTTAACAAGTGAATTGTTCACTTAATAACGATTGAAAAAAGAGTTAAAGAAAAGAAAGAGTCAAAACAAGAGTTAAAAAGAATTTAAAAAGAGTTAAAAGAGTTAAAAAAGAGTTAAAAAAAGTTTAAAAAAGAGTTAAAAATAAGAGTTAAAAAAAGAGGTTAAAAAAAGAGTAGTAGATCTGCAATCGTTATTAAATGAAATATTCACTTGATAACGATTGAAAAAAGAGTTAAAACAAGAGTTAAAAAAGTTTAAAAAAGAGTTAAAAAAGAGGTTAAAAAAGAGTAGTAGATCTGCAATCGTTATTAAGTAAATTATTCACTTGATAACGATTAAAAAAGAGTTAAAACAAGAGGTAATAAAAGTTAGAAGAGTAAAAAGAGTTAAAAAAGTTTAAAAGAGTTAAAAAATAAGAGTTAAAAAAAGAGTAGATCTGCAATCGTTATCAAGTGAATTGTTCACTTGATAACGATTAAAAAAAGAGTTAAAGAAAGAGTTAAAACAAGAGATAAAAAGAATTTAAAAAGATTTAAAGGAGTAAAAAAAAAAGTTAAAAAAGGTTAAAAAAGAGTAGTAGATCTGCAATCGTTATTAAGTGAATTATTCACTTGATAACGATTGCAGATCTACTAGCAATTAAAACGTCATGTTAATAAACAATTTTAGATGATGTCAGTCCATGAAGTTTAAAAAAAAAAATAGTAACTGTTATTATCTATTCCAAAGCATATTTATAATTTCTTACCCAACATTTCAAAGCAAATGGCATCTCCAATGCTGACGACGATGGCTTGTCCAACCCACGCGCAAATCATCATCATCAGAAACACCCAAAACTCATAGAACTTGAAAACCTCGCTATCCTGTATGGTGTTCTTGGTTAGGACTTCGTTCAAAGTAAAATCGTTACAGAATATATTGCACGTCGAGGTCACCAATTTATCGCATTTTGGGGCGAAGACAGGACTGCCTTGCACGGAAATATTGGATATTCTGAAATAGGCGTCCCCCGAAGCCAAAATTGTTAAAGATTTCGGCACATACGCTTCGAAATTTAGGTTTTTCGTATCGCCCGATATGTTGCAGTAATTATAGTTACAGAACGATTCCAGAAATCTTGGACTGGACACACAATCCATCTAAAAGATTATAAAAACGTAAACAAATTCCAAACTAGAAAAATAAAGAAAGTGAATATCATATTAAAAGAGTGGCCCAGTGTAATGGCTATTGGAAAGAGAAGTGTGAACCAAAATTGCATTGTCAACTTTACAAGTTTGTTATATTTATTTTCAGGGGCTTTTTTTATTTTGTATCTCACGAGCTTGCTTATAAATTGCATATTACAGTAAGTATATTTTTTATGCAAATCTCAAAAAACAATTTTTTTAGCACTTTTGCTGCTGCCAACTTAAGAAACACAAAAATATAAATTTGAAACCTTAATTTTGCCATTATAACAACAAATTAACAATTTAGGTATTTTGTACCAAATACTAAATAAGTATATACATATATATAGGGCAGGGATCGCCTGATTGAAATCATTTGATTTAAATCACGATTTAAATCAACGATTTAAATGAAGAGATTTTTTATTTTAATCAATTTTAAAATGTTTCTAAAATCTAAAAAACACTTAAAAGATCTAAAACTAAAGCACAATAATATCTTGACACTATTTAAACAAATTCATATGCATAGAAAAACTGCTTATTTTGTTAAATAAAATAATAAAGGAAAAACTGCTTATTTTGTTAAATAAAATAATAAAGGAATATACAACAAAAATATATGACAGCTGCCGTCGGTGGTTTATTTGTTTATAAAGTAGTGCCAATACAGGGTGTTATGTAATTAATGTAATATATTAAAATACTGAATACCTTTTGACATAAGGTAAATATTTTCCCAAAGATAAAGAAAAAATATGCATTAGAAGTTTTTTATATATTTTTTGATACGCCACTAGTTACACACTGTGAGAACATAGATACCAACCAATTTGTCACTAAAAATTTTTCTTGCAAAAAATAAATAAAAACCCAATAAATACAAAAGTTTTATGCCCTTAAAGCTCTAATACTCTTAGAGTATTAGAAAATTTAGTACCTATTTTATAAATTCCATAACCACAAAATTAATTTTTTCTATTGTTTTTTCTTTCTGTTTACTCAGATAAAATTAGGACAAGTTCACAGGTTAAACTTTAAACATTCAATTTGTGTAAATAAATCCAAAAGCACTTCCCTTAGTTAAGATATTTACAATTTGAGCACATAACCTAAAATTTGAAAGAAATGCACTAGATTCTCTAATAAAAGTTGCCAGATTTTGTTTGAATTTACCTTAATTACAAATTACAAAAATGACATAATAAACAATTAATAAAAACGCCAAATTAACAATTTGCATTGTTGAATTTGTCATTTTTGTGATTAAGCTAAATTTAAACTAAATTTGGCAACTTTTTTGACAGAATCTGGAAACGCTGGTTGTAACCAACCATAAAACAATAAATTAATTTAGGCAACCAGATTAGCCTAAAGTTCCTAGTCGATCAGTGGCGTACTTGTTGGTAGGATAAAGGTTATTATAAATTATTTTTAATCTTTAGAATTTAGAAAAAAAAGTTTCAGGTGCTTCTTTATGCACCATAAGGAACTACCCATTTTAATATATTACATTAATTACATAACACCCTGTATAATATTATTATAGTCAAGATTTTTTAGTATTTTTTAAATAGTACTTACACTTAATTATAAAAAGCTTATAATTAAAAAAAAATTAAAAATATCAAAAAAAACCATTGTTATTTTATTTATTTTTTTAATCATGATTTTTCAAACCCTAATATTTATGTTTAATCAAAATGATCTCATATATATATAATTATAATTAAAAGAAATAAAAACGTTTTGTTCCTGCTTGCCCTAACTGTGTTTAAGTTGTTTACCTAATATATCGATTTTTCACCATTTAGCAGTATAATACTGCTAAATGGTGAAAAATCACACCAACAAATATTATATACTATACTTACATTACATGTAGCAACCCCTGAACTTTGTAGCTGCTTTATAAGGGAACTATCTATACTAATATTATAAGTATTAAATGCAATAGCACTATCACAGGACAGGTGTACTTGTCTATCAAGAGGAATTTCAGGAGCGTAAAATATAGACAAGAAGGCAATAGCCGTTAGCAGTTGGAAAATTAAAAATATTTTTTTCTGGCAATGAAAACGATCAGCTATGGCCCCCATCAAAGGTTTGGCTATCATACCACATATTGGTAGTATTGTGTAAATTGTACCCACAATAACACTGGAAAAACCCAACTGTTTAGCATAGGTTGAGAGAAATGTTACGACCGAGCCAGTTCCTAAAATAAATTGGAAATTATAACCTGAATTTATGCAACTATGCAATATTCAATTACCTGCATTCCAAAAGAAATAATGCCCCTTCATAGGCAATAAATCTTTGTTAACTTCCTTAAACATTGTCAACATTTTACTTTACCACCAGAAAAATATAACCTAAAAATACTCCTGCTTATTCAAGTTTCACCAATTACATAAGAAATTGCAATATGTTTTCAATAGGCATAACATGTAGAAAACCAATCATACACATGGATTCATTTTAGTGAAATAATATAAAGTAAGGTTTTATCTACTATATTACTTATATATTTGATTAGAAATTATTTTTAATTGCCCAATATTAATTTAATGATTTAATGCAACCATTGGGATTACAAACAAACAATTAAGATATAGTTAATTAATCACCATGAATTTTATTATCAATGGCAATTAATTTTTTATTTAGGTTTAATAATAGAATAGTAGGTAAGTACTCTCACATAACTACTTAAAATTATTACTAAAATAGTATAGAAAAGTGTAATTAATATTCAATTATACAACAATTAAAGTAATTACTGCCTAGAGAAACCCTATATATAAATAAATAAATAAAGTTTCTTAAATTTTAGGTAATAACTGCCTAACTTTGTATCTATAATTTTTTATAATCCCAATATTATAACACAGACCAGAGATAAAGACTATTAAAATAAATAAAAAGAAGATTACTTACCAGAAAATTAAATCATATCACTAAAAAAGCAAAATTTTCAAAAATCCGGTTCTGAACATTAACCTCTATTTTTTGACAGTAAATCGTCCTGACAGCTCTTCGCGGCTATCTTCACTCCTTACAAAATAATAATATAACCTCAAAACACGTGTCGCTCGTTTACGTGAAAATGGTGCGTAAACAGAATAACCAGCTGCCGGAAAACTTGCCGCAACTGCAGAACTTGATAAAGAGAGATCCACAATCGTACCATGAAGAATTTATGCAGCAGTATCAGCACTTTCAGAACACACTGGAGGTTTTTCAACTTTCCCCCGAACAGGCCAACAAAACGTTGGATGATTTGGTGATGTTTATGGCGCAAGTGGCGCAATGCTATTCAAAGGAATTGTCCACATTCCCGCAACAGCTGATAGATTTGCTGGAAAAGCACAACACGGTGCTGGAAAATTCGATGCGTATGACGTTTTGCAGAGCTTTGATTTTGCTGAGGAATAAAAACCTGCTGGCGCCCACAGATCTGCTGGAGTTGTTCTTCAAGCTGCTAAGATGCCAGGATAAGGCTCTACGAGCGTTTTTGGAGAACCATATCGTAACGGACATAAAAAATTTGAATGCCAAGCATAAGAACGCGAAACTTAACACAGCGCTGCAAAATTTTATGTTTACGATGTTGAAGGATACGAATACCAGGGCGGCGAAGATGTCGGTGGATATTATGATCGAGTTGTACAGGAAGAATATATGGAACGATGCCAAAACTGTTAATGTGATTGCAACGGGTTGCTTTTCGAAGATCACCAAAGTTATGGTGGCATCTTTGAAGTTTTTCCTGGGGAAAGATCCGGACGAGAAGAACTCGGACGATGAAGATTCGGAGAACGATATAGACCCGAAAGAAATGGCGATGGCGAATCGAGTGAACAAAAAAACCAGGAAGAGAGAGAAGCAGATGAATAAAGTGAAAAAATTGGCGTCCAAACAGTACAAGAAGCGCTCCAAAGGCGAGACGTTCAATTTCTCCGCGCTGCATTTGGTGCACGATCCGCAAGGCATGGCGGAGAAATTGTTCAAGCAACTCGAAGCGACCAACAAAAGATTTGAGGTCAAATTGATGACGTTGGATGTTATATCGCGTTTGATTGGTTTACACCAGTTATTCCTCTTCAATTTCTATCCGTATATTCAGCGATTTATGCAGCCGCATCAACGCGAGGTCACTAGGGTTCTTCAATTTGCCGCGCAGGCTAGTCACGAGTTGGTACCGCCCGACGTGATAGAACCGATACTGAAAACCCTCGCGAATAATTTCATCACCGAAAGAAACTCCTCGGACGTGATGGCTATCGGTTTGAACGCCGTGAAAGAGATATGCTTGAGATGTCCGCTATCCATAGATGAGGATTTGTTGAGGGATCTAGCGCAGTACAAGATGTACAAGGAGAGAGCTGTCATGATGGCCGCGAGGTCGCTAATTCACTTGTTTAGAACGGTGAGGCCCGAGTTGCTCCACAAAAAAGATAGAGGGCGCCCTACCGAAGCCACGGAAGAAATCGAGGAGATTTCGTACGGTAAAGTGGACGCCAAAGATTACGTGCCCGGGGCTGAAGTGCTTTTGGATGAAGACGACGGCGAAGTCGAGATAAATTCAGAGTCCGATTCGGATGATGACGGGGGTTGGGTCGACATCAAACACTCTGATGATGAAGCTGCAGATAAGGAACATTCTTCTTCTGAAGAAGAAGACTGCGAACCGAAACGTAAGATGTTGAAGGCGCAAAGAAACACGCAGGAGAAGAAAGAGTTGGCGCACAAAGTGACGCTGGACAGACTGCTGACGGACGAGGATTTCCGAAGAATCGACATGGCCAACGTGAAGAAACAGGTGAAGAGCACGAGCAAAGGCCTGAAGCGCAAACTCGAGGAAGAGAAGGTATCGCAGGCGGGCGATTTGGTGAAGTTGAGCGACATCGAGAACATTTACAAGAAGAAGAAGCACGACAAGCAGACGAGGATGGAAAGCGTGAAAAGCGGGCAGCAAGATAGAGAGAAGTTTGGGTACAAAGACGGCAGGATGAACGAGCATTGTTCCAAGACCAACAGGGAAAAGAGGAAGAACAAGAATTTCCAGATGATAAGGCACAAAGCTAAAGGGAAGGTCAAGAGGAGCTTCAAGGACAAGCAGATCGCCTTGAGAAACCACTTGGTGAAACAGAAGAAAATGAAATAAATTATGTTATATTTGTTTTTTATTTTAGTAAAAATTATAATTTAAGAGCACGGAATATTATTTTCCGTACTATACAGGGTGTTTCATAATATATGCGCAGGACTTCAGGATGTGATAGCTCATCCAAAAAGATGAAAAAAGTCGCTATTAACTTACCCTCTAAAATGCACAATTTTCGAGATACAGGGTGTTGAAATATTAGAAAAAAAATCGTTTTTTTCGAATATCTCCGGAACCGTTTATCGTACAAAAAACAGCTTTTGTAAGCATTTTCTACTCAAAATAAGCTATGTTTTGTGCCAAAAAAAAATTTTTTTTACTCATAATTGGTGGAGATTTTGAAGGGGTAGCGGGTGTTTTTCTCCTCAACTTCTACGCCCCTGAAAAATGTACGGTTTTGAGAGGCCTATTCGAACCGCCAATGTTTTCTACACAAAAAAGGTACTCTTGGTCATAAGCTCTAAAGTTGACTGTTTTAGAGAAAAATCAACTTTTATGTTTAAAAACATGGTCAATTTAAAAAAAAAATTTTTTTTTTACTAATTAAACAAAATTTATTTTAACGTTAGAACAAGTAACAAAACCAAACCATAATTGCAAAATAAAAAATGATTCAAAAGTTTTCTTTGCTAAATTCTCCAAACCGTAAAGGTAACGCATTTCGAACATTTCAGCATTTGTGTGAAAAATAATTTTTTATTTTTTTTTTTAATTTTGTAATTATCGTTTGGGGTTGTTACTTTTTCTAACGTTAAAATAAATTTTGTTTAATTAGTAATAAAAAATTTTTTTCAAAAAATTTAACATGTTTTTAAATATAAAAGTTGATTTTTCTCGAAAACGGTCAACTTTAGAGCTTATGATCAAGAGTACCTTTTTTGTGTAGAAAACATTGGCGGTTCGAATGGGCCTCTCAAAACCGTACTTTTTTCAGGGGCGTTGAAGTTGAGGAGAAAAACACCCGCTACCCCTTCAAAATCTCCACCAATTATAAGTAAAAAAAAATTTTTTCTGGCACAAAACATAGCTTATTATGAGTAGAAAATGCTTACAAAAGCTGTTTTTTGTACGACAAACGGTTTCAGAGATAATCGAAAAAAACGATTTTTTTTCTAAAATTTCAACACCCTGTATCTCGAAAATTGTGCATTTTAGAGGGTAAGTTAATAGCGACTTTTTTCATCTTTTTGGATGAGCTATCACATCCTGAAGTCCTGCGCATATATTATGAAACACCCTGTATAAACATCTGTAAAACTTAAGAATCATATATATCCGCATTTCTTCTTTTGAACTTCTTTTTTAAAGGCGTGTCATTATTCTCTACTTTCGCATCATTTATTTGCGAATCTTGACTACTATCAAGCTCTTTTTCCTCCAGTATATCAAAGGATGTATCTGTTCTTGGTTCATCAGAGCTACCCTTCGATAAGATGGACAAATTTGACACCTCTATAGACTCCAAACTATTATCGGCTTTGGGTTCGGGCAATGTTAACCCCGTTAATCTCCTAACGGGTGTATCCGGTGCGACCACCAATTCCTCCTGAGTGTCATTGAAAGTGTCTTCCAGTGCCTTATAACTGGTGTCCAATTCGGTCACCAAAGTTATGGGGTCAACTATGAACAACTTTTGGCATAAAGATACGGTTTGAGGGTTGGATTTCGGGGGCGGTTGTTGCACTTTGTTTTTTTTGGGGCGCTGGGGATCGTAACCATCCACGGTTTTTTGAAAATTTAGCGGAACCTTTAGATTTTTTTCGAATTGTAAGAACGTCGTCGTTTTTTCTTCTTCTGTTGGAGTGAATTCCCACCTAAGTTATGATATTAAATGGTATATTAAAATAAAATATATTTATTCATATTTAGTTGTTTTTTTGCCGCTAGAGAAACTTTTAAATTAACAGTAGCATTAAATTAAAGCATACGAATTGCACATCATTTTAAAATAAATAAGTAGATAGTGTGTGTATTTTATCTAAGTGATCATGGTGAATTATTGTGTTTTTAATTGGAAATAAAAATCAAAAACTAAATCGTTGCATTTTCATGTTTTGCGAAAGGATTTAATACGGTACGTATATTTGTTGGTGCAGAATTAAGTAATGATAACTTTACCTAATATAATTTATATTTAAGTTTGGATATTTTAAAAATATAATTGTTGTACAAACATAACCTTAAAATCGAATTTTTGTATACAGAGTGAGTTTTAAGTTGACGCGTTCCTTTTAACAGTGTGTAGAAATCAGCTAGACAAATAAATATTTTAAGTAACTTTTTTATCAAAACTCAAAAATAAAAAAGTTAAAGCCCATCAAAGTTTAATTAAATTTTAAGCCGGTCCTGGCTATTGTTAACGAAAAACATAACCATAAAAATATCAAAATAAACAATGCAAAATGTCATATTTGACAACAAACAACCATTTAAATCAAATTGACATTTTGCAATAAAAAATGTCATTATTTACTTAAGTTACAGCATTTGCATTTTGACGACACTCTTCATAAATTAGTAACATTTCCACTAATTCATTATTGCTATAATTATGAACCATTTTTAACAATAATTGAGCCACAAAAAAACTGACATTTTTCATTGCTAAATGTCATTTTGATTTAAATGGTTAAGTTTGTTGTCATAGATGACATTTTGCATTGTTTATTTTGTTATTTTTATTTTTTGTTAACAATAACCAGGATCGGCTCAAAATTTAATTAAATTTGGAAGTTACTTAAAATATTTATTTGTTTATCTGATTTCTACACGCTGTTAAAAGGAACGCGTCAACTTAAAACTCACTCTGTATACAAAAATTCGATTTTAAGGTTATGTTTGTACAACAATTATATTTTTAAAATATCCAAACTTAAATATAAATTACCCTGTATTTAAGTCTCTAAAAAACGCTGACAACTGCAATTTAAAGACAAAATATACCTACGAATTCATGGCAACAAAATATTATATATAATACCGGTTTTTGGTATTTTACTGTTGAGTGGAGACTTTCTTAATCAACGCTTTTAATAATGCTAAATGCTGTTTGAATTAAGACGGCTTGTTTGTTTTATGATTTTTACTGATTTGAAATGTTTACAATTTTCACGTAAATCATTACTAAAATGTGTATTTATTGTATCTATCTCGTTTTTTCCCCGATATCTTTAACATCTGACAGCTGCTTATTATAAGCTGATTCTGGCTATGATAACCGCCACGTGGTGGCGCCACTAGCGATGCTTCTTTAGCGTATAGTTTTAATTAAAAAAATAACAAAAAATGTTGTTACCTTTCAGTCCCTGGGCCAGGCATATAACTGGTGACATTTTTGGCATTGACCAAATGCCTTGTCAAATATAAAATCGTCAACCACTCCAAATCGTAGCTGATCTCAATATTTTCACTTTCATCATGTGGGACATCCAAAATTTGCAAAAACCGCCTTTTCGGCAAACATTTATCCAAAGCTAAAAACCTAGTGGATTTTTTGTCGTCATGTTTGACCAGAGCGGCGAATTTACAGTGCAAATGCGCAGAGAACCAATATTTTGGCTGCAGTAAGTTTAATAGTTCTTCACAGGGACGACTGCCCAGTTTTCCACTGGCAATATCTTCCCTAAAAAAAGAGTTTAAATAAAAAATAACAGTAGGCTGAGACAGCAAATTCAGCGGTGCCAATGTAGTAAAAATAAAACGTTGTATTTTAATTAACAAATTACTTCTTTATTACTTATAAAAGTATCATTAAAAACTAAAAAGATCATAAATAGTAAATAAGTAACAACATAAATTATTAATTTGTTGTTATAATGGCAAAACTAATATTTAAAACTGTCATATTTTTGTGTTTCTTAAGTTGGCAGCACGAAATTTAAAATGAAAATTTTAAAAAGTTCTAAAAATTGTTTTTTGACATTTCCATAAAAAATAAAGTGTAAAAATCAATTTTTAAACCATATCTTTTGTTGCTTAAGTTTGGAAACGAATTTTTGAAACAATCTATGGAAAATAACAATTATATATATGAATTTTTTCCTTATAATCACCCTATTCAGAATCAGCATCTAATTAAGAAACACCCCGTAGATAGAACCCTTAAAAATGGACTAAAAGCTTGACATTTTAAATAACACACCACTTGTATTGGCAATTCTTATGTTGGTAAAAGTGTGATGAAGTAGAGAAAAAGGAGAAATGACAGATAAAGAAATATTAAAAAGGTTAAGAACATTACTTTCAATTATCCCCACAAACTAAAAACTTTACTTACTGAAAAAAAGGCTTAAATCTGATGAGCTGGGCTTCATCACCGTACTCAGTAATCCCAGTAGGCCAGTCATGCGACAAAAATATATCTAGCTCACTAGATAACTGTTTCAATCGAAATATATCGAAATTCCTTATGTGATAAACACTCCTTATAGTGTTATCATTGTATGGTGATTTTTCGTAATGACCTTTCATGTAATCCCGTCCTTTATAGATGCCCGATAATCCTCCAATTCTTACACCGGCTATGTTAATAACGCCTGCATAGCCTAAGTAGTAAATATTTGGGGCCACCCAGCCCCCATAGGGGAGTTCTTGTAAATAATTTGATGCCTCGTGGTTACCACCAATAAATATGGTCAGTATGGGAGCTATCTTTTCACCATTGTAATACCTAAGGAGTTTACCAAATAAATCATTTAATAATTGAATTAAATTAATAAACTTACTTATAAAACGAGCACATTCGGGAATATTTCGGTGGAACGGCCATACAACGAAGATCCTCCTCATTTCTTGTTGATTGAAAATCTCCGCAACATATCAGTAAATCAACCTTGATTTCCTCTTTTTCTTCCAGCAATTTTATGGTGTCGTATATAGTTTCAAGCTCTCCATGAGCACAACCCTCCACCGCTATTTTCATTTCGAAAATACCCTGTTTTAATTTTCAAAACAAGCTAACCTCAAAATGTCACCGTGTAAACAATGGTGCGTTTGAACTACTCGCAGTGTTGCCAACAAGGTCTCTTTAATTTAATTGAAAAAAATACCCAGTTTTAATAAGTCTTTTTTTAATTACCTGATCAATGAAACAAACAGTACATAATTTGAATAAATCAATTATATAATAAAAATAAATAACAACATTCCCGAGGGTCGACAAAGATCCCTAGAACCAAGGAAAAAATTCTACGTTGGCAACACTCACTAATCGTAAAGTTTAAAACAAGCTTATTTACAATAATTGTAGGTATATTGGGGTAGATTTTCATTAATTTACCTGTATTTTTGAAATTAAATTGAATTTATTTGAGGATTAAAGTAATTAAAATACTTTTTCGGATTTATAGATAAACATCACCCCCTCCCAAAATCCATCAGAAGTGCGCAAACGTCAATTATCTCTGCTTTCATTTCCAAACACGCCGCTAACTGGAGCTTGTGTTTGGAAAAGTGTTCGGTAAAATATTAGTAATTACATCAATTTTTAGTGTATAAATAGTGCAAATAATTAAATAAAATGACCACCCAACCTCACAGCAGGAAGAGAGTTTGTTACTATTACGACAGTAAGTTTGTTTATTTATTTACCATATTTGTATGATTAAAATGGTTAAATCACTTCGTTTTAAGCTTTTTTTAAATGTATCTTCGTAATCATCATAAAAAAATGCTTTAAACTTCGCGATTTGTTAAATGTACTGTTTTCGAATCTATAACGCCAGAGTTGAACGCCAAACTTTCTGCACCTTGCCTTCCATCCTTACTTTATCTCGTCGCTGATTGGTCGAATTTAGGCGCGACGTAAAAATGACGCTACTTACTACGCTATCTCGATGGCAAACATGGAGTCTGCCGTTCAATTCTCGGCGGTCACTTTTGTTTGTTGTATTTTTACTATTTTATCGCTAATTATTTACTTAAAGGCGATATCGGTAACTACTATTATGGGCAGGGACACCCCATGAAACCGCACCGCATACGTATGACACATAATTTGTTGTTAAATTATGGGCTCTACAGGAAAATGGAGATTTATGTAAGTTACCGGTTTTTTATTATTTTGTTGATTATAATTAAAATTAATGGCGAAATGAAGGCGTACAGTCTAAATTGTTAAATTTTGTAATTCAAATTATAAGTTATTATTTAGTTTTCTTTACTAAAGCATTTTTAGCCCTTCCCAAGCCTATTTAATAATATTTTGTATAATTCTTCTACCTGTTTTGTAAATTTTTTTACCTGTAAATTTGTCAAATTTTATAAAAATAATAAATGTACGCTTTTAATGAAATAAATGCAGATATTCTGTAACCTTTGATTCAATTATATCAAATTATTAGTTTTATCTAAGTATATAGATACACTATTGTATTAAATGTGGAAGTAGCTAACTCCGCTCGTGCATAATATACTATAATGTTATTCTTTATGAAACAACGTTATAACATAAAAACAAAAATATTAACATTAAATTGACACACACAGGCTAAATGACTTGCATTTTTAAGCATTCTCCAAACACAACATACATATCATAATACTCAGTGAGTACTAATCACCAAAGAAATACATATAAATATTGACCAGAAATGCTATGATAGAATTTAATTTTGAATTTTAACTGTCAATCATTGTCTGTGGTGTGATTTCCACAGATAACAAATTTATATGCAACATGATATTAATACAGACTTTATTTCAAGTTTTTAAATTTGGATTTTATATGTGTTGTACTTTTAAGTGTTTTTTAATATTTTTTAGATTTTAAAGTTTATTTTAAATTATATTCTGTTATCATATAATAGCTTAACGTATTCTTATTGTAATTACATTTCCGCACTGTCAAACAAAATATACAAAAAAAAATATGACAAATTTATAGAAAATATGTTGGGAAAATATCATTAAAAAAACTCATCTCGAATAAAAAAATTGCATTGTAAAACAAATATTAGAAATATTCCCCAACACCAAAATAAAACATAAAAGGGCTTAAAGTACTTTTCGCTAACGATGTTGGCATCTTCAGAAGCGAAGTGTAACTAAATCTAAATGCTAAATCCACCATATTTATAATAATTATAAGCCAAGGTTGACAAACTAAGAGTTCCCAAACAGGATTTTAAGTTTAAATAACTACAAATTTACTACCAAGTATTTTTTACGGTTAACCAAAACGGTTTTATAACGGTATAGATACGAAAAATTACCAAATTTGGGGAATGGTTTATTTCGTTATTTTACCTACAAATAACCTTTTTGATCTACTAAGAGAATAACGTAATAAAAACATTATAAATACCACAAGTTTACGTAAAAATAACGCTATAATTACTAACTGTTTGCTCTCTCTTTCTAAAACATTGACATTCGTAATTTCTTTGTTCTTTTAATGTATATTTTACAAAATGGTACTTACAAAGTAATAAAGGCCACCCTAGAGTAAAATTAAAAAATATAACTTAAATTCTCAAAATTAATAATATTTTGCATTAAAACTCAAACGTATATTATTTTATTGATAAAAATAGGCACAATACATCTTAAAAATTATATGCCCTCTGCTTGGGTAAAAATTCAACAAAACTTAAAACCTACAAAATTTTATAAAAACTTTTAAAAATCATTTAGTTTTAATTATTTTTTAATAACTAAAATTTTCCTTATTATATTTTAGAATAGTAGATTATGTCATAAGGAGTAGAAGTGCCTCTTTTTGTGGTGAGTACAGATATTGACAGCCGAAATGTAGCTGAGGCAGGCAACTGTACGAAGCACAAAAAGAGCTTCTACTTCAAATAACATACATACTATTTTTTTTCGTAATATAAATAGGATAAGCAATAGAATTATTTTATTTACTCATAACTCATGTGGGATAAAATTTTGGCTAAATGCATTAGAAATTATTGATAAAAACTAAAAAAACTTATAACCCTTACCGATAAATATCCGAAACTAAAAATAAATATTGCTCTGTCAAAATGCTGCGCTTGAATTAATTTTTACGTACTGACATTTGTTTGGAGGGGTTGCCTAAAAGGGGCTGAAGTGTGTTTTTGTGTTGGGGAATATTTCTTATCACCTAAGTAAAATTGCATTGTGTACACACGCCTAAAAAACTGTATTTGTAATTTTTGCGTTTGATGTTCATCTTTGCGAAATGTTGAATCTTAAGTATCTCTCCTGTTTAAAAACTCAACAATCGCGGTGTATTTCCAGCGTCCGCACAAGGCTACCGCCGAGGAGATGACGAAATTCCACTCGGACGACTACATCCGATTCTTGCGGTCCATCAGACCCGACAACATGTCCGAATACAACAAGCAAATGCAACGCTTCAACGTCGGCGAAGACTGCCCCGTGTTCGACGGCCTCTACGAGTTCTGCCAGCTGTCCGCCGGCGGTTCAGTGGCGGCGGCTGTCAAATTAAACAAGCAGGCGTCGGAGATCTGCATCAACTGGGGCGGCGGGTTGCACCACGCGAAAAAATCCGAAGCGTCGGGCTTCTGCTACGTCAACGACATCGTCTTGGGCATTCTGGAGTTGTTGAAGTACCACCAGAGGGTGCTGTACATCGATATTGATGTGCATCACGGTGACGGGGTGGAGGAGGCCTTCTACACTACCGACAGGGTTATGACGGTGTCGTTCCACAAGTACGGCGAGTATTTCCCGGGTACGGGGGATTTAAGGGACATAGGCGCCGGTAAGGGTAAATACTACGCCGTGAACATACCGCTGAGGGACGGTATGGACGACGAGGCGTACGAGAGCATCTTCGTGCCGATAATCAGCAAGGTGATGGAGACTTTCCAGCCCAGCGCCGTGGTTCTGCAATGCGGGGCGGATTCCCTCACGGGGGACCGTCTGGGGTGCTTCAACCTCACGGTAAGAGGGCACGGGAAGTGCGTCGAGTTCGTGAAAAAGTACAACCTGCCGTTCATGATGGTGGGCGGGGGCGGGTACACGATCCGCAACGTGTCGCGCGCGTGGACTTACGAAACTTCAGTGGCTCTAGGGGTCGAGATCGCGAACGAGTTGCCCTACAACGACTACTTCGAGTACTTCTCGCCCGACTTCAAGCTGCACATCAGCCCCAGCAATATGGCCAATCAGAACACTCCCGAGTACTTGGAGAAGATCAAGACGAGGTTGTTCGAGAACCTCAGGATGTTGCCGCACGCCCCCGGCGTCCAAGTCACCGCGATCCCCGAAGATGCCATGAACGATGACTCCGATAACGAAGACAAGGTTTGTTGTTCTACTTTCTCGTTTTTCCTTTGCAGGTGGAAGAAGTTGAAGTTATTTTCAACAATCATATCGTGATTGTGTTTTAATTTACTCCGTTTCCCGATACACAAAAAGCTCTATGCTGATGCGCATGTTACAGCCAGAGTTGAGGTTTCAATTAAAATTATGGGTAATGTGTTTTCTTACTACCTCGACTCAAAATACGTTGTTTCGTCCCCGATTCCACGGCAGAAAGTTTACGTTTCTTGCATTGGTCAAGCTATACGCGCACACTCTAATAGCGGGAGTAAAAATTTTTTAGTCGTGTGCTTAACATTCAAATTTCGTACTGCCAACATGAGAAACACAAAAATATGACAGTTTTAAACATAATTTTGCAATTATAACAACAAATAAACAATTTATGTTTTTACTTTTTTACTTTTCATGTTGTTTTAAGTGTTTAATGGTACTTTTATTTGTTATAAAGTAGTAATTTGTTAATTAAAATACAACCTTTTATTTTTACTGTAGGTATTGGCACCGCTGAATTCACGGCCTACTGTTATTTATTTATCAACCTCTTCAAATGGAGATAGGTACATAAATACACATTTAATTTTTTCCCGTATTTTCGACCGGGTTGTATTTTCGGCCGAGGTAGTAAGAAAAATAGTATACACTACACGGGCAGAAAGTGTGAGAGCCCTGAACTGCGTGCCATGATGCCCTCAGCTTCCCATCAGGCATCATGGCACGCAGTGCAGGAATCTCACACTTTCTGCCCTTGTAGTGTAATATACTATTAATTTTCATTATGCATTTCTTCCTTTTTAATAAAAATTAAGTCAATGAGTAATGTATTCTTTTTTACATTACTAATTTTTAGAGATGGGAATCGGAAAGTTTCCATTTTAAGGAAACTTTCCGTTTTGGAAAGTTTCCAATTGGGAATTTATTTTCATTTTGAAAGTTTCTTTTAAGCTACCGGAAACATTCCTTGGAAACTTTCCTTGTTTTTTTCATTTAAATGTCAATTGTTTAACCGCTGATTTTCGTCAAGGCCATGATACAAGGCCAAAAACTTTGAATAAGAATTTAATTTGTGTTAATTTAAAGCAGAAGAAGAAGTATAAATAATGTAAGTTATGTTACATAACCTCAATGATTATTATTCAGCATCAGCTGTTGATGATGTTGATGATCAACACAAAAAACTTTTTTAAAAAAAAGGTAAACAAAATAAATACAATAAACAAAGTTAAAATCATTCTTACATTTTTGTTGTTTATTTATAAGCATAGCACAATGCCAAGAGAAAAATCTAGTGTTTGGAATTATTACAAAATAGTGCAAAAAAACAAAAAAGACCATGCTCAAAGCAAGATCTGTAAGAAAATCTATGTCGTTAATGCAACCAAAAATTTGACAAAAAGTTAATGTGTTATATATTTTTGCAAATCCCTGGCATAAAAAAAATATTTTCGCAATAAAAAATTTTTTTTTGAAACTTTCGGAAAATTTCGGGAATTTTCGATGGAAAGTTTCCGGGAATTTTCGTCAAATGGGAATTTTCCCATCTCTACTAATTTTAATTTCTAATGAGTATTTTGAAATTTTCAATTACAATTTTTTATGTTAATGAGTACTCACTGTACAGTACTAATTTTTTTATTTTTAATGAGAAATGAATGAATTAATGAAGATATTTTTATTGCATGACACATTTTTTCAATTTTTGTTTTGAATTGGTTTTTAACCAGTAACAGACGTTCAAAATTAATTATTCGTTCATACCATCGCGGATTCAATACTTTTTTTAGTTTACGTCGCGTTCCCACCAAATTATCATAATCCCACTATCAACCCCGCCTTAAAATTTGTCGGTAGAAGTTTTTAAACTTTTAAAACATAAAAAATTTGCAAGAAAATCGAAGAATACAGTTTAAAAATTAAGATTTTTTAACTCATATTTGCGTGAAAATATGCTTTGAATAATTTTGATGCACGAAAATTTTAAGACATAAAATTTCAATTTGGACCATTATTAAAGAAATTAGCATAAAAAACAAATAAACGCGATTGTTTTCAAAATGTAATATCAAACTTTACTAGAAAGGGTACTTAAAAAAAACAAAAATAAAAGAAATCGAAAATCAACATTTTTTAAACTGTCAGAAAAAAATCACCCCATTAACCCTACCCTGATCATTCTTACTGATGTAATGGGTAATGTCTTTCGTTACACTCATTAATTTTTTAATGTGTAATGAAAATATTTTTCATTATTTTTTTAAAGATTAATATACTCAAACTACATTACCATTAAAAGAACAAATGATTGCATTATTTTTGCAACTCTGGTTATAGCTATCTCTGTCGCACCGTGTGACGTCATGTGCGAACCATAAGTTGGCGGGTAATTGGGTTGGAATGTTATTTGCACTGCAAATTCACGGCATATTCGAAAATTTATAAATATAGGGACGACCTGGGTGCAATTGATAAAATAAATGTTAAGGGAAAGTTAAAATGGCAGCAAGCGCTTTTAATACTTATTTAACATTTTAAGCAACAATTAATTTCCTACCGGTATATTTTGAAAAATATTAATATGAAGGTATACCTTCATATTAATATTTTTCAAAATATTTTTTATTTAATTGAATAGACCGAATTTTCCATTTTTTTAATGTGAAAGGTAACAAAATTATAAAAATGCATTTATACATGTAATTATAACTCACGCCCGCTTTAATATGTCAAAAGTAAAAAAAACTGCTTTTTTTACTTGTGACACTTTTAACGCGTGTTTCAGATCCAATGGTGTTTTAGTTTTTATTATTAGGGGCCGTTCATTAATTACGTGAGACAATTTTTGCGATTTTTCGACCCCCCCCCTCCCCTTGGTGAGATGTCGTGAGATTTTGCTCGACCCCCTCCCCCCCCCTTAATCTCACGTGAGATTTTTTTAAATGCATGGTTTTAATGTAAATAAGTTAATCTGTGCTTGATTCCATTAGATTTATTAAAAAAAACAATTTGCTTATATTTGTTTACTTAACTCTTAACACTCTTTCTTTCGGAAAAAAAATTACGTGATATTTGCCGAGACCCCCCCTCCCCCCACGTGAGATTTGGTGAGGTTTGGCTCGACCCCCTCCCCCCCTAAACACCTCACGTAATTAATGAACGGCCCCTTAGTATGAACTTATGCAAGCTGTAAACAAATATGAGGTTAGGATAAAAGTTACTATAAGTACCTAACGGGAAATTGGGTATAGGGTATTTCCACGAAACCTTACCCCACCTTGACAAAAAATCAGTTGTGTTATTTAACAAAATAACAACTATATCTGAAGTCAAATAGTTTAATTGCGACGTAATTTATAACCTTAAAATATTCGTACATTGTGACGCTAAGAAGCTAACATTAAGGATAAAAACGTTCAATACTCGATAAAATGTTCAAATTTCGCACCCGTTACATTTTGAGAAAATTTTATAACATAAAGTATACAATATTTGTGCATTTAAATACGTTCTTGTTTAAGGCATTTGCCGATTTTCTAAGGTCGCGCCCGTTACTCTATTCATGACGTTATAAAAGGTTTTCTATACAAGTTTTTATTGACATTTTTTATACTATTTTTTTATATTAACGTATCTTGATATATATGAACAAACACTTTATTATCATGAAAAAACTCAGTTTTAGTGTCGCACCCGTTACAATGGAAATACCCTATACCAAAAATTGCCTTTACTTACCGTTTTCATTTTATCCTTTCTCTTGCATGCATTCATCCACTGTGCTGCCAGATCTTTATTTTTTGGAAATCGAAAATATTTAATGTTAAGTTAGGTTCTGCTCATATTTCTGCTGTCTGCTACAGTACAGCCCGGCATATTTAAAAAAACACAATAATATCGAAAAAAACTCAAAGAAATCGTAGTAAAACACCCGTGCATAGCGCATGCCTATGCAAAACTGTTTGTAACATTTGAATCTGGTTCGCACGCGACGTCACTTGCGCGTATTCGACGAGTTTTCGTTTCATAACCAGCTGTTGTATGAAATATGGACTTCATGGTGTTATTGTCCGTTAGGTTGACAAAGACGAACGCCTTCCACAAAAAGACCTCGACAAGCGGATAGTGCCCGAAAACGAATTCTCGGACAGCGAGGACGAGGGCGAGGGCGGTCGCAGGGACCAAAGAAGCTACAAAGGCAGAAAGCGACCTCGATTAGATAAAGGAGAAAACAAAGAGACCGATGATAAGATCAAGGACGAAGTCAAATCCGAAAAAGGTAGGTAACGAACCTCTTTATCACATAATTATTGCGCCAATATCAAACATCTCGTCATTATAATTTTGTTGTTCATGGCTTTGAATTGAAACGAATTATTTTACAGTGGAACAAGGAGGGTAGATGAAGTGGTAAAATAGGTGTGTATTAAAGAAAACCAAAAACACCTTTTTGTTGTTGTTTTTAGCCTTTAAATTTTTTTATTTATTTTGAATGCGCTAGTCAACAATACTAATAATATAATTAGTTTTATTTACTATTTTATATTATTTAATTTAATTTTAATTCCCAATTTTTATAGATGATTTTTGTCCAGTCCTTTAAGTTCCACAAGCACAAGTTTAATGAAAGTATTTTGTAATATTTTTTTTATTCTTAGCCTTCATCTCATTGTTTATTTTATTGTTTACCATTTGCACGTAAACCTAGATAGACAGATATAAAAATAAAACATCAAAATGGTATATTGTTGAACTTTCTTCTAGGAGATGACGAAAAATCCGTCTCGGACGATACCAAAAAAGAGTCGGGACCAACCCCATGACAAAATCTCGGCGGTTCTTACAAACATAAGTGAAATTTGAGTAAAATCAAATTAATTTAAAAACTAATTTTTGAAAAAGACTTTTTTTATATTCAATAAAAGTATGGTCTCCCAATTCCTCGAGGCGTGCATTTAACCTGTGATTTGTTTGACTGGAAGGATGTAAAATTGAGTGTGTCCTATTTTGTGTAATTTTCTGTCTGTATCATGCAGTATTGTAGCAAGTCCAATATAATATTCTTTTTAGGAATATTGTTTATTATTTAATAAAAAACGTAATATTTATATAACTGATTGTTTTATTTTTTATAATCAGTCTTATATTTCATCTCCCCACTTTTGAATATAAGGTAAGTAGTAAAAATGTAGAAAATGTTTTATAATACGTCTTATATTTCCCCACTTTTAAATGTAAGGTAAGTAAGTGTATTTAAAAAAACATTTTTTATAGACGATAAAAATGATTATCAATAAAACGACGTTTTTGAAAAAAATGGCGTAGAAAACAGTGGCGGCTCGTGATCTATCATAAAGAAGGTTCACAAACTGCTACAGTTCTCGACCTCTAGACTGAAGAAATGGTTTCGCACAATGGGACAAACATTTGCCCAATTTCTTATACTCGTACTCATAAAAGGCATTTTTAACTATAAAACTTATCTATGAACAAAAACTGCGTTTAAAAGGTTCTTAAAAAATACAAAGTAAATTTAATGGTTTTATTTTAATTTTTCTTCACATAACATTTACATATTTAAGTCAGTCTTGATTATTTTTTTTTAATCCAAGGATAAAACACTTTCCACACTGGATCTATTTCGTTCTGGTAATCTTGGTCCACCTAAATAACTTATAGGATTACCAAACTTTCTTTGCGTCGGGTTTAAAAATTCCGGTCGTAAGTTTTTTTTGTTAAATCTGAACGCAGATTCGTTTTTGGGTTTGCCTGAAAAAGTTATATATAGATGGAAGCAATAAAATAAAAGTTAATATTTCTTACCATTGGCTTGGGGTGTGCCATTTTCTTTGGGAGATTCGGTTTCATCGTTGGTATCATGTATAGTTCCGTTCTAATTTAAATGGAATTTTGATTAAAATTTTGAATTAATTTCGAATGTATTAATATGAAATTTTATGCCAATTGTTAAACCCACGATGTTTTGTTGGAAAATGAAAAATGGTTTGATTGATTTAATGTGTAATTGTAAAATTATCTATTTGAGCTAATCAGTCAATGCATAATTTACAAGGTATAAGCTACATATTTAATTTTATTATTTTATGTAAAAATATTTTGTATAAAATCAGTTTTACTGTAAAACTAAAAGCAGTATTTTAAATAACAAAATATCCTCACCTATGCACAAATCTTAACTATTTTCGTATACGGCTTTTATTTACAGTTTCCTAATATTTTGTAAAAGCATTTATTTCTTTATAAAGTATCTAAAAGAATATTTTCTAAACTTAAACTAAAATTGCAATTTGATCCTTTTAATCTCACTGTTTTCGTAGTCATTAAAAATTAAAAATATCTAATGACTTTTTTAATTAAAGTTATTAAAAAAAATTACTGTAACCACTAAAATTATTCTTAATCGTCCATTAACTCAACACTTATATTTATGAGAGGCTTCCTACTTCCACTGTTGCCATTTCGTCGATCATGAACGGCAGTGGCGTAGACAGGGGGTTGCTGTGAGGGGGCGGACATCTAGATCTCGAACGCATTGGCGGAGTGGGCGGGGGAACCTAAATTTCACGAGTTTTTTTTCTTTTAAAAATCGTGCAAAAATCTAACATTTACCATGCTCGAGAACAAGATGCTTAATTTAGAAATATATTAATAGAGAAAGGATCATTTTTAACCATCACATACTTTTAGAATAAATTGTTATGAAAGAAATGTTTTTTTTTACATTGAAACCAGGAATTGCTAGTACCTTTTATAAAATAAGCAAAATATGAATTAAATGAATGAATCATAAAGGCTAAAAAAAATTTCTGGAATAATGAAGGAATATGATATAGGTGAAATGAAATTCCAAATGAAAAATGTTAAAAACTTTATTTCTAAATGAATTGTACATGCTGTTTCATGCAAGCTCTAAATTCTAGGTAAATAAGTTAATATTTCTTGAGAACAAATCGAGCAAATTGATTCCTTCCCAATTTTAACTATTGACTGCAGCGCTAACATGCTATGTACTGCTAAATATTTACAAGCCATTCGCACCCAAAAAAATCATCTATAACTGAACTCAACCATGCTGAACAATCGTTTGATCGTCGTTATCGTCGACATATAACGATTTTCTTTCATTCTCGAATAACGTTAGTTCGCTAAATGTAGCTAACGGCGGTTGTTTATCTAAGTTACTTACTATTTTTTTATTCTCTTCATCGTCTGTATCGCTATCGTCCATCTCGTCTTCGTTTTCTTCCGGCATTGGGGAAAGAAGCTCTTCGTTTTCGTTCGGAGGGTCCCAAGCTAACTCACTTGCACTGTCTATGGAAATAAATGAAGTTGCTTTACCTACGCACTCTTGTTTTGTTATTTGTTACCTCTAAAACTGATTCGCTTCTCCCTTTTACTGTCGGCCCTTTTGATTTTCTTCAGTGGTATTTCTTCGGTGACAGGCGCTTCTTCAGCAGGCGGGTCAGTCTTCAATTTGCCGTTTCCGTTCACCAGCTTTTCCACTTTTTCTTCGGTTGGTACTTTGCCATTCTGGATCACTTTCGGCTTCTCCGTTTCTTCCGGCAACTAAAAAAATCAATGAATTTAATTATGATTTTTATACATATTTAAAACTTCACTAACTGGTTTTTGGTTCTCCTGCTGCATGATAGCAGCTTGCTGCTTAGACAGCAGGATGTTGTTGTCTGTTTCTAGTTCTTTGCGTTCCTTGTATCTTTTATCGGTTAAGTATAGGTGATAACTACCAACTACTATAACGAACAAAAAGAAACTAGCAAGAACTATAACTATTATTTCCTCGTATCTCTCCTCTTCCTCGTCATCTGTCGAATACTGGGCTGTGTATAAAATTCTTTGAGGGGCATCTTGAACCCAAGTCTTATCTTTACCCTGAAATGTGTCGGAATGAAAATGGTCTTTTGTAGCTCAATGATTGTTATTACGTGTGTTATGTTAAGATTTGTGGGTCCAGGATTTTTGGAGTGTAGCACATCGAAATCTGAGCTGCATTGAGCACTTCTCACTCCTTGAGGATTGGAGACATTCACTTTTTCAGCCCCATCTTTCTTGAACAACATGTACTCGTCCAACGGTTTCATTATTTGATCGTTTATCTCAATGAAGATGTCTGAAAAAGAAACCCTAAACAAAAACTGCCAAAGTATTGTTTCTTTTCTTACTTGACAGACATCCACTGTAGAACTTGTAAATAGCAAATCTGGGGTCTGCGGTGTTATGTCCGCCGATCTGCACATCATTTGCACCAGTCTCCGGAACATTTGTGAAAGTTTGCGCTGGTATCTGGTACATTGGAATTACTTCTCTATCGATTAGTAATTCGGATTCGTTCTCGGTGCGTCTGTAGTACACTGAATGACGGGCTCCGTTTATAAAACTCTTTGAAGAAACGGTTGCGGAGTATACTTCCCCTTCGCGGTCTTCTTGCACTATGAGAAAACCCTCCAAAGTTAGAGTTACCAGCAGATAGTAGCTGCGGCTAAAAAGAGTTATCAAATGACAAATTTGTTATTTTCAATAACTATCTAGCAGACTTGGTTCCCTAACTTTCTTAATAGGTTTAAGGTTGTCAATATATGAACTTCATCAAGTATATGTTGGGCAACACTCGATTTCTCTGTCCTACCAAATCTAGCATGGGCCGTTTAGTTTTCCAACATATTCCTTGTCACAATCTTGACAGTCTATATCGTAGATTCCCGACTTTTCAATCTTAAGAATATTATCTTTTGGGTTGCCTAAAAGGGTCTGAAGTGTGTTACTGCTTGAACTCGAAGCAATTTTAAAGTCAAGTTTTCGAAAAATCTTAAAAATTGCTTTTAGTTCAAGCAGTAACACACTTCAGACGCTTTTAGGCAACCCAAAAGATAAGATTCCTAAAATTGAAAAGTCAGGGATCTACGAAATAAACTATCAAGGTTGTGACAAGAAATATGTTGGACAAACTAAACGATCCATCCAAGTAACCTTAAGGTTCAGAGGTGTTTTGTGGTGTTGGGAGTTATTTCTAATATTTTTCGAGCTAAGTACTTACTTGTTCTCTGTTTGCAACAAAAGCAAAATGGTGTTCTTTTGCTTTTCGTCCATGCTAGAAAAGGCCAATTGAATTTTTACGTATTCCACTGTCCCGTTGAGGACGTAGGTCCTCCATAACATGGACTCTCCGCTGAAATCGGCCCCCTTTTCGTCCTTACAAAACGGACCGTAGTAACTCGTGTGCTCGCAATCGCAGGAGTGATCCTGCTCCCTGAAATTCTCGATGCAGATCCCTCCATGCTTGCAAGGCTCCTCATCGCATTTCATTTGACATTTTGGAATCACGCCTAGAAAAGAATTATAGTTTTTTAAATTCAGACGACAGATTAAAGCATTATAAACGACCTTCACGCGTCGCATTAAATAAAGGAAGCACTCTTCCTATTTACTTAAAAATAGAACAACAATCTCCCACGCGTGAGGAAGAGTATCATTCTCGCTTACCTGTGTCATCTTTTTTTATTTTCGAGGGAAGATCTATTAAAGTTTCGCCGATTTGAAGACCTCTCAAACAACCGACGTAACCTGGTAACTCGGCTGGAAAACTCGACACTTTTACTAGCGTTTCGGGATCGTATCCTCCTACGTTGAGTTGAAAATATTCGGTAGGAGGCGCTGGTGGACGTTGGGGGGCCAAAAATTCAGCCTCAGGATTTGCCCATGGTTTATGTGAATACTCCTCTAAAAGCAGCACTCCAAAGGGTATGGTTTTGTTCTTCTCGTTCACGTGTACGGTGGTTCTGTTTTTGTGTCTCTCAATTGCGATCTGTATGGGTTTGCTTGAATTCAGTTTGGAGTAATTTACGGTGGCGTTATGGATCTTGTTCCCATAATTAAATGAAAACACCACCTGCGTTCCGTTTGTTATGTAAAGATGGACGAAGTTGTTGAGGTTGTCATTGGCGTAAAATATCGAAGCCACGGTATCGTATGTCCTCAGATTTACCAAGATTTGTTTTTGGAGGATATCGCGAAGAACGATTTTTTCTGTACTTAGGTCTGTGCTTAGGAAATTCCTTCGTAAGAAGGACTCTGGGTGGGTGAAAGTAATAGCGTTTGTATTTATATCTAAAAATTGAAAACAAATACATATTTAGATGGTCTTATCTTATGTCGACAAAAACGAAACACTTACCAATGTTATCGTTTTTATTTAAAACTGTGATAAATTCCGTATAACGCGTAAACACCGAACTTGCTTGAAAAAGCAAAATAAAAAACGCTAATCTATACATACTTCTAATATTTTAACCACAAACGTTACCGTTGTTTCAATTAATAAAACAGATAAACTGATCCTAAAGCAAGGAGGTCAAAATTTCATATGATAACGTATTTATTTTAAGATAACATTTTGTAATAATCCGTATTTACCTTGTAGCAATAGTTTTTAGTACTCACTTTCTTGGCAAAATTCTCCGTTGTACGCCCATGGGTTCGGGCATATGCACTCAAAAGTGCTCCAAAGCTCCTTACATTGAGCGCCATTTTGGCAAGGATTCGGTACACAGGATGGTTTACAATCCTTTATAATTTCACTTAAATGGACACTCATGTAACTGTAGATGTCAAGAATCTCTTCGTTCACCACTAAACCTCTAAAGCAACCTATTAGGCCTTGATGAACGGAAGATTTTGCGTCCAGTAGGTTTCTGAAAGACGTTTTAGTGATTTTAAAAAACATTTAAAAAGTTCTCTTACGAAGGGGCTCCTCCAATGAACATCGAGCCTTCAAAAGGTCCAAACTCTTCTTCAGGCTTCAAATTCTCCATTTGACTGTCTTCATTTATCATAAATCGTACGTGGTATTTGTTGTAGTCTATCCAAAGTTTGTGCCATTCTCCACCGTTCAGTCTTCTTCTGGAAACTATAACCAACTCCTTTGACACGCCAGTGTTCAGAGTGAAATTGAAAGTCAGCTGGAAATCTAGGAAATCAATGTTTATATATTTTAAATTTACTACTTGATATATTACCGCTGGTTAAAGCAACCATAAAACTCGGATAATTCGGCCTTATCGGTGGTTGATACAGCAAAATCGCTTTTTTTCCTGTGGTTCTAAAGGAGAAGGCCAAATCTCCTTTCCTCCATCCAGGCACTTCAATGTAAGACTGGCTCGTGGTAAAAGTCACCACGAAACGTTGTGTATCTGAAAATACCCATATCACCTCAATTACACTCCTCCAGAACCATTTATCCATACATCTCACTACTGTTATATGGTAGTAGTCTTATATAAGGCTTACTTGTTTCGACGCACTCCAGGGCCCCCAGGGTGATCCTGCCGACGGCGTCTTCCGGTAGATCCGGTTGCTGCAGGAACACCATCTCGGTTATACCGAGGCTGTTGGTGGCGGTGTAGTGACCCTCGTCGGTATTCCATTTGTCGTCGTTGATGTCGTCGCAGTTGCACCATTGCGACGGCGTCTCGCATTTTTTGCCCACGGAACACGGGCAAGTGCCCCTACAAAGCTTTAGTTATCATTTGGAAACTTTTAAATTGAAAGCTAAGGCTTGGGTTGGATCATAGAGGTTTTTCTATGGGTTGGATTAAGGTCATCTATGGGTGAAGGTTAACTTGAAACTTTTAAATATCTCAGAAAATAGGCATTTTACGAAAAAAATTTTAAAATAAAAATTAATGAATTCGAGGGGTAAAATAAATTAGTATAAAAATATTCCTCATACTCTCATTCTTATAGGGAGAACATGGGCTAACTTTAAAGTTTTTTTTTTAATTAAATTGCAGATTTAACTAAAACCACTTTTTTTAAGGTAAAATTTTGTAGTGATTCCAAAAATAATAGTAGTTTTTCTGGTTTAGCTCTAGATTTCGGGTTATGCATGAAATCTAGCAAAAATGCACTGAATATTCAATCACAAATATGCAGCTAAAATTTTATTTGATATCAAATCAATCCCAAATCTTAATAGCTGTAAGGACTACAGTTTAATACAAATTTTAAGGTGTAAAGCTCCTAAATCGCATTAGTGGTTTTGTCACTATGACGAAAAATACGTCAGAAAAAATCATTATTTTCCGATTTTTTTCAATTTTTTCAACTTTGGTCCACTGTATATCAAAAAATATTTTGAAATATAAAAAGTTAGTCCCCCTATATTCAGCATAAGTACGTCAATATATGATGAGATTTAGATTATGTACGGTACATTTTTTGAAGCAATGAAAAATGTTATCATTTATAATATTACAATTTTTTTTAGATTTAATAAGGGAAAAAAATGATCAAAACCGTTTTTTTTTAGTTTTTTGTTATTTATTTATTAAAATTCTCTAGAATATAGGGGGGCCAACTTTTTATATTTCAAATTGTTTTTTATTTACATCGGACCAAAGTTGATTTTTTTTAATTCAGAAAAAAACGATTTTTTTACCTGTTTTTGTTCTTAACGACCAAACCACTAATGTAAGTTTTACACCTTAAAATTTTTATTACACTTTCCTTCTTATAGCTATAAACATTTGGGATTATGTTAATATTAAATAACAATTTAAGCTGAAAATTTGTGATTTAATGTTCCGTAACATTGCATTTTTTCGAGATTTCATGCGAATCTCGAAATTTAGAGCTAAGCCAGGAAAACCGCTATGATTTTCTGAATCAGCACAAAATTTTACCTTAGAAAAAGTAGTTTTGGTTCAATGAGGAAATTCTTGTAAACTAGAGTAATTTTTCAATAAAAATATAAAAGTAATACAGCGCCATAGTTTACAAATATAAACAAATGTTTTAGACAAAATCTCCCTATTTTTAGGATGAGAGTATGGGGAATATATTTGGTACTAATTTATTTACCCCTCGAATCATTTAATTTGTATTTTAAATTTTTTTTGTAAAATGCCTATATACTAAGATATTTCAAAGTTTCAAGTTAAAAGACTATATTATGTAGTATGATGATAATCAGGTAATATCAATCATAAATCATATTCGTTAAAATAGATATCTACATTAGGGTGTTTCAAAAAAACCTTTTTTTTGTTTTTTTTTCTCGGAACCACGCTCGAAAGTTTCGTATAGATATAAAAATGAGCCTGTGAAAAAATGAGCTCTTAATTTCAAAATTAAGATGTTCCGCATCGCACTTTTAGATTTTCCATAAGAATAAGATAGGAAAAATTATTTTTGTAACTAAAGAACAATAGGTCGTACTTTAAAGTACTGTAAAGTAAAGTATATTTTTGTAGAGAATTGAACGCTCTACAAAAAAGGTTTCTTATGATTTTTTGATAAATTTGATCCTTCTAAAGAAATTTAAGGTCAAAGTTCAAATTATACAAAATTTTTGGGTTTTTTTAACTTATTTGGCGAGTCTGCCCGACTCATTTAAAAAATTTTGAAATATTTTTGTAGAGAATTGAACGCTGTTTTTCCGAACTTCCAGAGCTCAAACACAATATTTCGGTTGGTTTTTAGCACTTTGAATTAAAAAATCCAGAAAAAATCCGAGAAAACGACTAAATTGACGGTTAATTTCACTTTAACCTTGAATAACTTTTAACCAAGTTTACTTACCGAAAAATGACTCTAGACCTTTTTTGTAGAGCGTTCAATTCTCTACAAAAATATTTCAAATTTTTTTAAATGAGTCGGGTAGTTAAAAAACACAAAAATTTCGTATAATTTGAACTTTGACCTTAAATTTGTTTAGAAGGATCAAATTTATCAAAAAATCATAAAAAACCTTTTTTGTAGAGCGTTCAATTCTCTACAAAAATATGTCAAGAACTTTATAGTACGACTTATTGTTCGTTAGTTACAAAAATAAATAGAAACAAAAATAATTTTTCCCATGTTATTCTTATGGAAAATCGAAAAGTGCGATGCGGAGCATCTTAATTTTGAAATTAAGAGCTCATTTTTTCACAGGCTCATTTTTATATCTAGACGAAACTTTTGAGCGTGGTTCCGAGAAAAAAAAAAAAAAAGGTTTTTTTGAAACACCCTAATCTACATACTTGTTGTTTCTAATTAATAATGGATAAATATTAATATAAGTTATTTTTTTATAAAATATTTACGTTAAAAATAATATTTATAATTTATTACCTAATTAAATATTGTAATTATTATTTCAAAAGCTTTGTAAACAATTTTCCATTTTAATATCAAAATAAATTATGACCCTATATACATATATTTAACTGGAATTTTTAATTAAGGCTTTGAATTTTCCATTGCAATTAAAATGAATTTTAAATTTGGCCTTAATTTTTTATAAAGTAAATTATTTTATAATTTCGTGATTTTACATTTACTACTTACCTAATTACAGGATTAGGTTGGTATACCATTTTTATTTACTAAATGCATTTTTAATAAGCAAATTTAAAAAAAAATCAATCAAATTTAATTGTGATATAAAACGTTGAAAAACCTCATTTAATAATAATTATATACATAGATGTTAATAATGAGTAACCAACTATACAAAATTTAATATGAACTTGACATTATACTTTCAAGGTTGACTTTATTGTGCTAATACATTTATTTACGTTTTCTTTTGCTACTCTACATACGTATTAGACTGGGCCAAAAAAATCGACTTTTTTTTTTGGATAGTATATCGAAAATATTGTTTGGGGTGACAAAAAAAAATTATGGTGAAAGTTTGAGTCCATAATATTAATATTAAGAGGTCCATCATCGCAATTTTGGATTTTTTTTTCCTGAGCGAGTTTTTGTCTCAGAACTGCCAAATCATTGAGTTTAACAAAATTGACTTGAGAATATTTTTTGAAGAAAATTGAATGCTCTACAAAAAAGGTTTGATTGGAATTTTTCGTCAGATGAACCCTTTTCTTACAATCATGCCTTAAAAATTGGTATAGTTTTACAATTTGATCTTTTAACTTTGGAATTTTGTAATTCAAGTAAAAATCAGTACCCTGAAAAAAAACGATAAATATTCTTATGGGAAATCAAATGCTCTACAAAAAAAAGTCTTTTATCATTTTTGGCTAAATTCACCCCATCAAAAGTTATTCAAGGTTAAATTTGAAGTCAAAACGAAATTTTAACCTTGAATAACTTTTGATTGAGTGAATTTAGCCAAAAATGTTAGGAGGCTTTTTTTGTAAAGCCTTTGATTTCCCATAAGAATATTTATCGGTTTTTTATGGGTACTGGTTTTTACATGAGTTACAAAATTCCAATTTAAAAGATCAAAATGTAAAACTATACCAATTTTTAAGGCATGATTTTAAGGAAACGGTTCATCTGACGGAAAATTTCACTTTAACCTTTTTTGTAGAGCATTTAATTTTCTTAAAAAAATATTTTTAAGTCAATTTTGTTAAACTCAATGGTTTGGGAGTTCTGTGCCTTAAAACTTGCTGAGGAAAAAAAATTAAAATTGCGATGATAAACCTCTTAATAATAATATTATGGACTCAAACTTTCACAATAATTTTTTTTTGTCACCTCAAACCATATTTTCGATATACTTTAAAAAAAAATAGTTGATTTTTTTGGCCCAGTCTAATACGTATAAATAGGTATCAACTAATGCTCATTTTTAATTGATTGTCTAAAATATGGACCTCTTGACGACTTCTGCGCACCTTTTAACATCTCCGATAAAATCGACCGTCTGATTGGCCGAACTCAGAAACCAAGTGGCCGAATGCAGCTCCAAAGGCGCCTTAAAACAATCGTACTTGATGTACTGACTGCAGTTCAGCGAATGCGAAACCAACTCTTGCAACATTTCGGCGCTAAATTCCCTGTATTTGATGCTGAAGCTGAAATCCTTCTCCGAGGGCGATCTGACGTCTATTTGACTGGGCAGATTGTGTTCGACGATGGTCTTCGTCGATTCCTCGATGCTTTGGAACTCGCAACGTACGTAGGCCGGAGGGAATCTACCGTTTCCGTCGATGTCTATAAGGTAGACGTCGGGTTTTGTGTAACCTGAAATTAAGGTTTTTTTTGGCCATATACGTAATTTTAATAAATTTTCATTTGGCTCCTTATGAAACGAAAACTCGTCGACTCCGCGCATGTGACGTCACGTGCGAACCAGATTCAAATGTTACAAACAGTTTTGCATAGGCATGCGCTATGCACAGGTGTTTTACTACGATTTCTTTTGAGTTTTTTCCGAAAGTTGTTCTGAGTTGTAAACAAATTGAAGGTGCTCCTTAACGTATTAAAACATCGGATATTAAAAAAGTTATATACCTAACGAGAATAGTGAAAAAACGTTTTTTGGGTTACATTTACCCCTATTAATACGATAGATTATAGACAAAATAAAATTAAAATGTCTTTTTTTTAATAGAGAAGACTACTATCTAATAAAAAATAAAAAAACGATTTTTTTTTGTAAAAAACAACAAATCTAAATCTAATCTAATCTAATTTTTTAAATAAAATAATTAAAAAACATAAAATTCAATAAAAAGTACATACTTTCACACGTAAAACATAAAAATACATATTATTGTTTAATATTTCGCTGTGTCTAGTCTCACGCTAGCGTGAACGCAATTTTATTCTTATTCTCACGCTAACGTGAACGCAATTTAATTTTTATTCTCACGTCAAAATAATTTTAATTTTATTTTCACGTTTACTTCGTTTACTTTTGGTTTTTGGTTAAACCTAAGGCTGCCAACTTTGCCCAGGGGCGGTTTTAGACATCTACTGAGGGGGGGCGAAAATAGAAAAAGCCCATGTGTAGTGGACATAATTCTGCCAGCATTATTTTATTTAATTTTACTTTTTAGGTGTCGTGTCATTTGATTTGATTATGTAAATGTAATAAAATTTACTAATATATAATCGAGACTCTTTTACTGCAGCCAAACCAACCCAAACTCAACAACACAATAATGATGTGACTGAATCCAAAAGAAATATTAAAATTATATGCTTGAAAAAAATTGTAATTTCCTTTCACACAATCTACTGCTTCAGCTAACGCCTGGTCCACATTATAATTTACTATACAGGTTATAAGTTATAAGTTATAACTTATAACTACTATACCTATATAAAAAATTATTTAAATTTTATTTGTACATTTTTAATTTTTTTTACTGACTGGGCCAAGGGTTTTTAATTAATAAATGTTTTGTTTTTAAACCGGCTCTTTAAAAAAAAATTACAAAAAATATAAATATGACATTTTTTTAGTTCATCAGAAAAAAAGTTCGTAAATGTTTATTTTTTTCTTGAAAAATTTATTTACTATTTTTCTGTAGGTACCAATATTTTTTTTCTATACATATACATATATACAGTTCCAAGTAAACGCCGAATACGTTTTTTTTCGTAAAAAATGGCGAACAAGTTTTTATATAAAATAAATATATTGTGAAAAGTAAGTTTAAAAACAAAACATTAAAAAAACGTATCAACTAGGCAGTTGAAAAAATGTGAGCTTTTAAAAACCCACATTGAATATCATTTTTTTGAAAATTGGTGAATTTTTTAATGCAACGCTTTTATTAAGGGCATAAGTGAAATTGTCAGGTTTTTTTAAGATTTTCCTTACTTAAAATTAAAAGTCCGAAATTTACGTATACGATAATTTTTTACATGCAATATTTTACATCTTACAGACCTAAAATGTATTGTACAAAAACGATAATTATCGTACATTTGGAACACTGATGAAAATGTGAAATATTTAGTTTTAAGATGCATATGGGCCTAAACAGTATAATGACCCAGATACGTAGTTACTTTTTTATATTTTTGTATAAAAAGTATTTACAGTTGTAGCAAAGTATTTACACTTATAATAATAAAAACAAATAAATAAATGGTAAAAAATTATTTAAGTTTTTTTTTAATTAAGAAAACGGTCTGAAATCCCAATTTGTTAACACTTTTTCGAAGCAACCGCGTTAGATTATAAAGCCAGTGGCGTAACTATAGACATGGGGGCCCCAGTCGGATTTTCACTAAGGGGCCCTTACCAGAGAATTTCTTTGAATCATTTCAACTTTACTCCTACCCCCTCTCCCCCTGTCTCATTGCAAACATATATATACATATATATATATATATATATATATATATATATATATATGCAAAACGGCTAATACACATCCGAAATAGATACTTTTGTGAAGAAAGCGGCTCCGAAATCGGAGCCGCATTCGAAAAATCGGAGGCCAAATGGTAAGCACGTGTATCTCTTTACTATGGGTAGTCAAGGTCATTTTAGGACGTGTGGCAAATTTTAGCCAGGAGGTCAATTCCACTTGGATACACCTACAGTTACACAATCGGGTTCACCGTTCTTCCGATGAGGGCGCCACTGTTATATACAGATGTATATAAAAATAAGTATACCAGTTAATATACCTCAGAATATTTTCTAATCAACTAGTCTCCGAAATTTGGCAACAGTGTCCGGAGGCCATTTAATGCCACGAGTATGTATTTCTGTAAATGTACTTTATTCAGAGAAATCTTATATTTTTAATACGTTAATGAAATAATGATATAGGAATATGGTATAACTGGACTCCTGAATAAAGGTATTATTAAGAATAATAGACGTATCTATGGGTATACAAATACAAAGTGTAAGTCATAGAAAAAGTGTAAGTGTGGTCAACAATGTAATGTAGACATGAATTAAATATTTAATAACAGATGGTAAAAAGTAATCTACTAATTGCAGGTTAATTATAATTTTGTTTTTCAGGCTTAGCGCGGTTGATTAGCACTGTCGTTTTTAGGAAAATAATATAAATAGTATTTTAAAAGAAAGAATTGAACCTTCACCTCGCCAGAGTTTTCATTTTGAGTGCGTTCCACTTGTGAATAATACCAGTGGATTTAAAGAAACTAAGAAAATTGAATGTTTGGTTAATTTTAACATAAGTAATTATAGTTATATAGTTTATTATAAGGTATACCTGTAGAAATATTTTATTATAACATTTTTATAATAAACGGTTTATTAGATACTAAGAAATTTTAGCAGATAGGTGTTCATAAATACTATATAGAAGTTTTAAAAATATAGGTACCTATTTATAATAATAAATTAAACTGAATTTAACAACACATTAAGTGTATATATAAAATAAATAAAAATTATACTAAACTATTATTTTTTTAATAAATAAAACTAACATAGATAAATAATGACTGCGTTTATTTATAAAATAATTATTAAAAATTATAATTAAAAAACACATTTATAAAAAAAATTAAAAATGACAGACTAACACTAAAATTAAAGAGCAGCTAGGTAAAAATATTACCCATTGATAATGAGATAATGCCGCGTCTGTACTAACAAAACAAAATTATAAAAAATACATATTTTCTTAGATTTTTTAATATGGATTCTGTAAAATGTCTTTATTAGGCTCCGCAAAACTAAGCTTAAAATTTAATTTTAAAGCGATTACAATTTCCAATCCCTGCTGAAAATAAAGGTTGATTGCGGGTATAAATTCTTTGTCAAAACCGGATAAAAGCGGGTAAAAATATCATCTGATAACATCTGCTTTTGTCCGCATCGCTATATCCGCGAACACCTGGTTGGTTGTATTTTATGTCCGGTTAGTGCACCCCCGCAATCATCTGCAATCATCTATTTTTAACCGTCTTCACTGTGTTTCGTTTATATCTGAATTTGTCCGGAACCATCTGCAAACGTCTGCTTACGTCTGGGTTTATCCGCGAGCATATGCTTTTACCCGCAAACGTCTGCCTAGTCCAATTTCACCCGCCAACATATGCTTTTATCCGCCAACATCTGCTTTTATCCGCGAACATCTGCAATCACCCGCGAACAACTGCTTTTATCCGCGAACATCTGCTTTTACCCGCGAACGTCTCCTTTCATACGGTTTCACCCGCAAACATGCTTTTATCTGCGAACGCCTGATATCATCCGGTTAGTGCACCCCCGCATTCACCCGCAAACATCTGCTTTTATCCGCGAACATCTGCAATCATCCGCGAACATCTGCTTTTATCCGCAAATATCTGCTTTTATCCGCAAACATCTGCATTTATCCGCAAATATCGAAACTCGATCCCTTTTGATCACGAAAACAGGAGACAAAACCCTTATCAAAAATGATCAAAAAGGATCGAGATTTAAACTCGATCCATTTTCGATCAGTTTTTTTCAGCAGGGTTATTCAAATAATAAAGTTGTGTGCCGTGAACGGCTAACAACCACTTAGTTAAAGCTCAGTAAAATTTGACAAAGCAGGTAAACTAAACTAAAGTATACACGAGAAAAAGGAAAACAAAAAGCGCTAATGAAACCAGACGTTTGCGTACGAAACAGGACCGAAATGGAGGCAAATCAAACGCGGATGAAAGCAGAGGTTTGCAATTAAAAGCAGATGTTTGCAGATGTTCGCGGATAAAAGCAGATATTTGCGGATAAATGCAGATGTTTGCGGATAAAATCAGATGTTTGCGATTAAAATCAGATGTTTGCGGATAAAATCAGATGTTTGCGGATAAAAGCAGATGTTTGCGGATAAAAGCAGATGTTTGCGATTAAAATCAGATATTTACGGATAAAAGTAGATGTTTGCCGATAAAAGAAGATGTTTGCGGGTAAAATCAGATGTTTGCGGATAAAAGCATATATGCTTGCAGATAAAATCAGATGTTTGCGGATAAAAGCAGATGTTTGCAGATTAAAATAGATGTTTGCGGATAAAAGCAGATGTTTGCAGATAGAATCAGATGTTTGCGGATTAAAACAGATGTTTGCGGATTAAAGGAGGCGTCCGCGGATAAATGCAGATGTTTGCGGATAAAAGCAGAAGTTTGCGGATTAAAGCAGACGTTCACAGATAAAAGCAGATCTTCGCGGATAAAAGCAGATGTTTGCAGGTGAAATCGGATGAATCAGAGTTTTGCGGACTAAATTAGATGTTTGCGGATTAAAACAGATGTTTGTGGATTAAAGCAGATGTTCAAAGATAAAAGCCGATCTTTGCGGATATAAGCAGATGTTTGCCTATAAAATAAGATGTTTGCGGATAAAAGCAGATGTTTGCCGATAAAAGCAGATGTTTGCGGATAATATCAGATGTTTGCAGATAAAAGCATGTTTGCGGGTGAAACCGTATGAAAGCAGATGTTCGCGGATAAAATGAGATGTTTGCGGATAAAAGCAGATGTTCGCGGATGAAAGCAGGCGTTCGTGGATAAATGCAGATGTTTGCGGATAAAAGCAGAAGTTTGCGGATTAAAGCAGACGTTCACAGATAAAAGCAGATCTTCGCGAATAAAAGCAGATTTTTGCAGGTGAAATCGGATGAATTAGAGTTTTGCGGACTAAATTAGATGTTTGCGGATTAAAACAGATGTTTGTGGATATAAGCAGATGTTTGCAGGTGAAATCGGATGAAGCAGACTTTTGCGGACTAAAGTAGATGTTTGCGGATGAAATCAGATGTTTGTGGATTAAAATAGATGTTCGCGGATGAAAGTAGATCTTCACGTTTAAAAGCAGATGTTTGCAGGTACAATCGGATAAAGCAGACGTTTGCGGATAAAATCAGATAAAACCGGGTGAATGCAGATATAAACCCTTATACAGGTATTTGCGGATGAAACCAGATGCAAGCAGACATAGAACTAAACAGATAAAACCCGACGTTCGCGGATAATATTTATACCCGCAATTGCAGATAAAAACCGACATGCCGGGTCGGATGAAAACAGATATAAATGGACATAAAACTAGCTTGGTTTTTTATCCGCAATCATCCGATATTACCCGTCTTTTTCAGCAGGGATAGTTCACGTTTTGAATAATTCAGACATTTTATAGAATCCATATTAAAAAAGCTAATAAACCATGTTTTTATATATAATATCTTATTAGCTTATTATCAATGGGTACTATTTTTACCTTGATGCAAATTATTTATTAAATTTAATTTACTAAAATTTTATTTATTACAATTATTTTTATTTATGGTTCTTGCATTTACTGAATAACATAATACACTTTTGTTTTATTAAAATTAACGCAAAAACATATAATGCCGTAGTTATTTTTAAATTTAAATTAAAGGTGCTGTTAGTGTTTTTTTCTAATTTGGTTTTTATTACAATTATTACGCACTATTTTAATTATCTACTTAAAACTTCATTTATGGCAAAATGTTACTACATTACATTCTTAAAACATGTTTTTACCTCTGATCGTTTAGTTAAAAGCAAAAAGAAAATTTTGTAGTTGTAGATTTTGAAAAATTAATTTTTTCCAAAGCAAACAATAGATAAGTAGGTACACACAAATTTCAATTTTTTGTGAATTGATAATATTTGTTTAAAAACCCTTTTTAAAGAACAAAAATGACGTATCTATAGATATACCTACCATTTATATCTAAATATATTATATAATTTATATTTAAAAGTCAATTAAATGTGTACATCCAAATTACCACTTAATGGCATCATTAGATGCATTTTTAATAAAAGAAACCAATCCATACCTTAAATGTTAAATTATAAATGTATTTATACATTTAATAAAATAAATATATTTTGGAGGAGTCCAATTAACCGATAAACGCAATCATCGAAATACATAAAAAGGCTTAAAATGAAAAATAATATAAATACATGTGAGGGTCAGTGCGGCAACGTCGCTGGAGGCAAGTTCAACCGAGGCACCTCTGGAAATATATTCACAGGAGGCAAAAAGATTGTCTACTGTGTGGAGGCCACTTCACCTTAAGCCTTATCAAAAATGTGTATAAAAATTCTTTCTTTATTTTTAAGAAAAGTTTTCCCCTCTCAGGTTGCTCATATAAAGAAAGACTTTATTAATTTATTTCTATAAAAAAAACTCGTAAATTCCTATTCCTTCTGGTGGAGGCCAGGTCTCCTTCGAACGTATGGAGCCGAATAAGATAGGCGTGCACATATATATATATATATATATATATATATATATATATATATATATTATGTTTCCAATGAGACAGTTTGAAATATTAATATTGGAATAAAAATATTCATATATGTAAGCTATATTAATTTATAGTACTACTAATTTATGCTATATTATAAATAAGATTTCGAATTTGAGAGTTTGAATCTTAATTTTTTTATCCAAAATTGTAAATGTGAAATCGAAAATTTCTTATTTTAGATTGCAAATTTTTCATTTTTATTTTTTATCTCTGAATTTCTATTTTTGACTAAGAATGCATATTTCCTATTCAAAATTTCAGACTTTCGATGTGAAGTATTCGATTTCGCGTTTAAGGCAACGAATATTTATTACCACAAAAAAACAAAACTTTTATTTTTTCATATTAAAAATTTTTCTTATATTTAGATAAAAATTCTCTTGCTACTTCTGGGGGCCCCCTGGTGCTCGGGGCCCCGGTGCCTGAAACCGGTAGGACCGGTGGTAGTTACGCCACTGCCTAAAGCAGTTGACCTAGCGTTACATTATGACGCAAAAGAAATTTAATACAGCTGTTGACATAAGCGTGACCGACACTTGCAATTTTAATTAGAATTTCCTCAAATGTACATATTGCATGCAAAATTCAATGATCACTCACCTAGTAATGCCAACTCCTCGCACGTCTTCCTGTAGAGCGCGAAATGGCAATTTTTCCCGGTATACCCGGTACCGGCGCAATCGCAAGTCAACCCGTCCTCTTTCACACTGCACTTGCCGCCGTGCTCGCAGGTGTTGGGTCGCTTGCACGCGTCCACGAACTTGCAATGGTCCAGAGTCACTTCCCCGACGGTCCGTTCCGACTGCAGAACGCTGCGCGGCTCCAACCGATCCCCGTTTATCATCACTTCCCGCATACAACCCACCATCCCGGCGTTGGACCGCGACCCCGCCGAAATCTTTATCTTGTCCCCGATCGCGAACTTGATGTCCCCTATGTGCTCCTTCTTCTCTTTACCGTCCACATTCAACACCACCTCGCCGTGCTGGTACGTCATCTTGAGGAAGTGCCATATGCCCGGCGTCTTCTTAACGCTCACCGGCGTCGTGGCGTTCTTTATCATGTCCGCCAACTCGAAACGAATCTCGTCGTTCACCAGTCGTATCTCCCAGTAGTAACCCGTCTGGACTTCGCTTGAAGCCACCACGCTCAAGTTATTGCTCGCCTTGAAGTACAAGGAAATCTCCAACTCATCCGTGTGCGTGTTGGGCCACCAAATATGCGACGAAGAAAACGGGAACGTAATCGGTATCTCCTTGACATCCGCCTCGTAAAACTCCGGCCGAATTATACCGATGTAGTGCACCTTGGGGTTGCTCTTGTGCAACTCGTATATGATCGAGATGTCGTTGTAGAACACGTACTTCAAAGAGCCGGCGAAGTTGTTCTGCGACATCAACCCGGTCTTCTTCTTCAGCTCCGGCCCGCCGCCGATGTAAATCTCCGGGTCTATGTACACCAGCGCGCTCCCGGATATGTTCAACGTGACGACTTCCTCGTTCAGGATCAAGTGCACCTTGTCCTTGCTGTGGTAGATCGTCAGGTTGTTCCACTCGTCGAGCTTGAACCCCGGGTCTTGGCCAAGCACGGTCGTCGCGGGGTCGTTCTGCCCGAAGTCCACCTCCACGTGGAGCGAGTTGTTGAAGATCGAGGCGGCTATGTAGTGGTCGATGCCGCCTTCGCCGCCCGCCGCGTAGAACAGCGCCGAGTTGTCGAAGTGCGTCTTGAACATCATCGAGAACCGGGTCACCGAGGAGTGGACGCGGTCCTTCCAGTCGTACACTCGGTACGAGACGTACGACGAGCCGCGCAGCGTCAAAATTGTTGCAGCTGAAACGAGAAGAGTAAAGTCTGATCTATAGATTGCCTTCTTTCCTTCCTCCCGTAAAAGATGAACAACCCTAGTAGCAATGGAATGGGACAAGATTCTCCAGCAAGATACTTGGAGAAGCACTTTATACACAATTTGACAATTCTTGATCAAGACACTTGACCAAGATTCTTTATCCAGACTGGCTCCAGACTTGGGCCAGTCTTTGACCAGATTCTTGGCCCAGAGTCTTGATAGAGTTACGCGAGAAACTGAAAAGACGAGAATTGTGAATGAAACTACTGTAAAATGAGAACCTCCACTCTATAGGATAGTCCCTAAGTTTAGTAACAGATGGCCTCAGACTTCTGGTCAAATTCTTGACAAATTCTGGCCACAGTCTGGCCCAAGTCTTGCCCAATGATCTTGATCAAGAATCTGGACCAATTCTTGTGCAATTCTTGATCAACAATCTGTTCCAAGTATCTTGACCCATGCTTGGACAAGGCTTTTCCAAAATTGCTACTAGGGAATACAATCCCGTACGGAAATCAATAAACGGCACTATGGTTTTCGTATTGTTCATCTTTTACAGGAGGATAGGAAGAAGGAAGGAAGGCAATCTATAAATCAGGCTTCAGAGTGACTCACTAAACATGTCGCAGTACTCCCCCTCGTACTTGGTGCCGAAGCAATCGCAGGTCAAGGAGTTATAGTGATTTATACATCTGGAACCCTGAAAGCACAGGTTATCAATCGTTTTGCACTTATCGATACATCCCTCTTGGACGTTTTCGTGTTTGGTTGCTATCAGAGGCGTGATGGGCAGCAAATCCGAAGCTGATTTTCCCGTGCTCAAAACGAAATCCTTTATGCAACCCACGAAGGATTCTATGATGTATTTGACACCGTGCAAGCGTTCTTCTGAGCTTAAACCTAAAACAAGGAACGGAAAGAAATAGTTTTAAATTGAGTGCTACAATATTGTTGTAGTCATAACTTTGTTTCAATTTTGTTTGAATGGGTTTTACAATATCCCAGATAACAACCGTGAGGGGCATCATAACGCACATCGCCTTCACGTCTTGTGGAATCATGCGTGACGGTAAACACGCTGCGATATGATATTCATTTTATGATTATTGGGCATACAGGCATAGGCATCAAGGCACGAAATAATTCCAAACTTTTCACTTTTGCTAAATAGTTATCGCAACATTATAGATGTAATACTAGATTTACCCTACATCTTGCGAAAAAAGATCTTTTGGATTATTACTTATTGACCAAAATTTCGCAATAAATCAATTTTATGAATAATTAACAGCTGAGTTTTGGACTTGCCTTGTCTTAATTTGATTGTTTTTCTTACAACGTTTCGATTAGTAATTATCTCTAATGATCTCCAGGTAATAACTGAAGACAATTACTAATCGAAACGTAAGAAAAACAATCAAATTAAGGCAATGCAAGTCCAAAATCCACCATCACATGTTCTGGCTATATGAACCTACGTGCGGATTACAATCACGTTGTGACTGCAATATGCGTCAATTATGAACCTCATAATGTTATCTGGGATGTTATTACACGTAATTGAGTAAACTTTTGAGAATTTTACCTCCAATAAGGATGACTGACGTAACGTTGGCAGAAACACCATAATTGTTCTCTTTATCGAGTCCTCTTAGATCGGTTTCCGATTTTAGATCGTCGACCATGGCCATGAGTCTGCCACTGTGGACGTCTATCCTGACGGTAACAGAATGCCACTCGTCTTTGTTCAGACCTCTTCCGACTGTAAGAGAGGTGGAATATTTTCCGTAAACGTGGACCACCTTAAGTTTTCCTTGTTGTACTATTACGTACAAGGCGTACGGTTCTAGGGATATTCCTTCGGGTACCTGAACGTTGTGGTACACTAAAAGACCGTGTGGTAGTCTGGTTCGGAAACTGAAGGAAATTTGTCGACATAATCTACAAATGCATTTATTTTATATAGGTAATCAGAAGTAAAAAGATGGTATAAATACCTAAGCTGAAACGTTTGGATTATATCACCATCGATTTGTATAAACGTATTAGATTGCGCAAACATAAAAGTTGTTGTTTTGCCTGTTTCTTGAAAAGTAAGATGGGAACCTCTTTCATCCTTTGGAATACTACTAGTGGCATTGAACTGACTTTTAAAACCTTAAAAACAAACCAATTCACAAACAAGAATTTGAACAAAACGGCTTAAAATTCCCAAAACGTTGTTATTGCCTAAAAGGTACTTAAATAAATGGTCTTATCTGAAGATAAATATTGATGGTATTTAATTTTTGTAAAATGGATAGAAACATCAACTTTTCTCTTTTTACGAGTGACATTTTTTCTTGAAAATGCGATATATAGGGGAAGGTGGGGGAATTCTGCGCATCTAAGCAAAATCTCTAGTATCTTTGTTAAGTTTAAATGTGAAATTTTGCAATTAATACCAGCGATAGTCTACTATGTTTACTATGTGTATATAATGCGCAATTTATAAAAAAAAATTTTGGTATGCAAAAACTACATTTTTTTAAATAATGCATTTGCGCAAAATTACCCACCTATCAGGGTAATTTTGCGCATCATAGTTGGAAAATTTGCGCTGTATAATATTATTATAATATTATTATAATAAAACATAAAAATAAAACAAAACTATTTTCTCTATGAAACAAACAAAATAAAAAATAAATAACTAAAAATAAAATTTTTCTTCTTAGAAATAAGAGGGTCTACATGCAGCATTTGTCACATATGTAGTTTTAGGGGGTTTTTTTCGCTACACTCCGCGTGTGCCCAAATGGAACTGTTTATGCTGAACAATCTAGGCTCCTGTATACCAAAGCTCCCATATTGGCCAAATTTTGCAGCGCAAAATTACCCCAATTTTTCAGCGTAAAATTACCCCCATTGCAAGAAAAATATTGTGATACTAAAAAACTTTTCAAAAGTTAACCTAAACAAACACCAGATTACGAGGAAAGATCATATAAAGTTGTGTTATAAACATTTAAGCGATTGGACAGAAATTTAAACTTAACTCGTAGCGGAAACGACATGGATTTCTTAGATCAAAGTACATGTATCACAGTTAGCTAGTGACCATGGTCACTAGCTAAAAGCTACAAGCTTAATTGCGGTACACTTTAGTCCCCGTATACCCAAAGCAACGTTTCCAAGTTTGCAACATTCAAAAAATGTATTATTTACTTCATATCTGGAAGAATTGTTTATGCGTAAAATTACCCACCGCGCAAAATTCCCCCACCTTCCCCTATAACTGGTTTTTGGAGACCCCTTGAAAAAGTATTCACCCGGTAATCCCAATAAGTCACGATAGCTATATCAGAAATAAAAAAATCGCCCATTTTCTCGATATAGGTAATGGATATAAATATTAAAACCTCGTGACACAACAATAACATTATTTTGGAAAAGCGTCCTTCATTCAACCCTTACTAATGCTCTTCTGATTCTGACAGCTGTTGATGCACTGAACCTCGTTGTCGAATCTGTTTCTTTCGTTGCCCATGCATCCGCCCCACGAGAACATGACGCACCGTTGCCGGTCATGGTCGAAAGCCCATTTGTAGATGTTCCTGTTGCACGGTCCTCGGTCCATCGTACCCGGACACTGATGCAGCACGTGTTTGCTGGGTTTCGCCGATATCGCAGTCAGAATGACGCCCAAGTAAGTCAGCAGCACCCACATCTTGCCTAGAGAAAATTTAGCTAGTGCAGTAAATGCTTTTTATACCATGACGTTGTTTATCCAGTTTTAAATAATGCATTCAACACAGGCAGGTATTTTGGCCAAAACACAATTTTGTTAATTTGTATTAGTAGATCTAAGCAGATAGATAACATGGCTATCTTTTGGTGTAGTTTCTACCTAAATTGGCCATCCCAGTCCGCGGTACCAACAGCTAGAACTTAGCGCTCCCTTAAATCTTACGTCTTCATTACATTTTCGCCATGTTGGTTTTTATGTTAAAAGTGTTTTTTTTGGAAAAAGTTGATATGGATATCGTCAATCAAGGTATGTACAATATTTTCAGCAACATTTTATTTGTTTTATAAACTTTATTTATTCATATCGAGTACTATACTCATCTAACTAAAAATATTAAATTTTTCTGGACTTTTTAAACAAAAATTTGTATTTTTAAATATATGCAACACCTCGCAACGACATCCGACCCATGTTTTATTGAAATCAAAAACATTCACATCACGAAAAAATTTACCCTTGAAAACAGACACTTTAGTGCGATTTTTAGGTAGATGGGTACCTATGTTTTTTTATTTTTTAAAGGGCACAAAAAATTTAATATATTTAATATTTTTATTGTATTACTTGCATGTAAGTAGCTACTTTGTAATTTTTGAATAAATAAATTTTTGAATACATATGGGTGATTCTACAAAAGTTGGACAACTTGATGTCATCAGTCAATAGAGTAGGTATTTTAATATTTTTTGTAAATATTTTAGTATATTACAAAAGATCCAGTTTTTTTAACTTGTCCACCCAGTTTTAATGTATTTTTTTTAAATGACGTTTTTAGAAAAACATAATAAATATTCAAAACATCAGTACCTTGGCGTGTCACAACTCCTGAATCAAATATTTGAGTGAATTTATTTTAAAATATATTCAATTTATCTTAAATTTTTCAATTTCACTACAAACTATAAAACATTAATAATGTATTTTTCATATTTTATCATAGATTCGAATAATAGCAATTTAAAAAAAAATTATAATCTTTGTCCAATGTTAAAATTCAAAATTCCTGCGAAATATTAAAGTTTAAACGTCAAGTCCTCGTTTTAACTCAAGTGTTGGTAAACAATTACCTACAGAGCCCGCCCTTTGCACGACAGTCATCTTGAAAACAATGCAAGCGGCGAAGTTGTGGTGAATGCACGTCAAAATTTCATTACTGTGGTGAGTAGTTATTTTCTTACGTATATATATTTCATTGTAATTTATATAAGGCTATATGTGATTTGTTGAAAAAAAGCATCCACCAATAAAAAATATCAGTAAAATACTTAATTCCGAATTATAATCTCAAATTTTTATCCCATTCATCAGTACCACGTCGTCAGTTCCATGTTAGATGTTTCGGTTATCTTTTTTTCGAAAACTCCAATTTAAATGCTGCTTGCACAGAACTTGTTTATTTAATAAACTCATATAAATTTGGTGTGGGTCCGATATCTAATAATTGAGATATCGGTATACCCAAAATCCACCAGCCGCCACTGATGTGTGGTATTATTTGATTTTGAGATATTTAATGTATAATATAATATGCTCAAAGTTGCAATAAATCTTATATTTTCCAATAAATTATGTATTTAATTAGTACCCTGGTATACTCGTCACTTCCCTTGAATACAAATTTAGAAAACACAGATATTTCGGAAACTGTTTGAAAAAGTGACTGGCCCGGTCTGGAATAGTATATTTATTATATTATCTATGTTCTCATAACAAAATACTGTTTAATTTTCTCCGAAAACTATATAAACAAAATGAGGTCAAAAGTTGCCCAACTTTTGTAGAATCACCCATATATTTTTTTTATTTGAAGTAAAAATACCTAATATTAATTGTATACCTTTAGAAATATGTTTTTTAGTCATTTGATACATAAAAAGTGCCCAAATATTTTTGGCCAATTGGCTTAAGTTTTAGGTCAAAATACCTGTCTGTGTTTTGGCCGTTAAACTCGCCTGATTTGAACCCTATCGACTATTGAGTGAGGTCTTACCACTTTAATAAATGAAAAATATATTGCCAGCAAAAAACGCAACTCCCTGATTTAGCTTACGTAAATTTGCTTGTTCCATATTTGTGTGGCCAATTAATAAATATCTCATAATTAAAAAATCTAACGCAAACAGCAAATATGTATTCATCTGTACCTAATTATATATTTTATCTGGTTGAACAACAGATTTGTTCTTGAGTCAAATGTAAAATGTAAATATTAGTTAGTGTTAATGATAAATCAATGATACCTTTGTTAATCCACACAGTATACTTAGGTATACTTATAACATTCGTCATTAATAAAATGTCGTACCTTAATTCAAATACCTATTTTCTTTGGCAGAATATTATCAGGATGTGTTGTAACAAAAGCCTTCTATTCTTAACAAGGTAATTAGTGTAATGTCAACAAAATTTGACTCATTTCCTTAACCACGCAAAACGAGCGTGACTAGTACAACGTTGGTCGAAAAAGTACCTATCCAGCAAACACAACCGTAAAGGTTCTATAATGGCCCTTTATCAACGTGCCTTTAATGAAATAAAGGCCCTATAAAGGCTAACTCTAATGGAACTGTACATATTATGTCGCGTTCACCTTTAATGGGCATAAAGGCACTTACAAGAACTATTCCATTTTTTGATATGGCAGATTAAAGGTACAAATGTGGCAAGCTAAAGTTCCTGATATGGGGTGTTAAAGATTATAGTGGTTAATTAAATTATTTTTATCTATTTTGCGTTCATAATGACTTTATATAACACCGCTTTCGGTGCTGTAATGAGATACTTTATCCCACCCAAAATTTTGATTTTACAGGTTGGCTATACTTTAAACAGCATAATATTTTGCATATTGTTTATAATATTTTTATGATTTTTCTAGTACTTACGAGACTTTTCTGGCAATAAATTTTGTGAAAATCCTTTTTTTTGTTCTTTAACATTAACCGCTTATTGTAAATAAGAAAATTATAATTTTCTTATTTCTTATAAGGACGGCATGGCGAATCGATTTTGACATTAACTGTCAAACCTATGACTGTGATACCAACTATCTAAAGTAAAATTCGACCAAATTAAATTTAAGGTATAATTTTTTTTATAGAATTTTTGCAAAATAGATAAAATAGCTAGCATAAATAACTCATGTCATAAGACCTTTTGTCGCACTCGTCCATTACAAAACTCGCTCCTTCGTCGCTCGTTTTATATTATTATAATATATAATTAAGGATATTCCACGATAATCAGACTTTATCATGGAATATTCGACCTAATATAAACAAACCACACAATTCACCATAATAATTACTTTACTTATTCATTACAATAATTAATGTATTAACGTGAAATGTAATACTAAAACATTCATAATTATGTATATATTAATATTACATAGCCATATGGCTTATGGGCCATGGGGGCATATGGGCCATTACATAATCACACTTATGTGTTTGCTGAGTAGTTTTTGAGCTACAAAAACAGAAAAGGCTGCTTTCTTAAAATAATTAGTCAAAAATGACTAATGAAATAGTCAAATTAATAGATTTAAATATAAAAAAGTTTTGACCCCGGCCGGGGTTTGAACTCGGGTCTGTCGATTGTCAAGCGGATGTCTAACCGAGGCACCACTGCTACTTTTTTAGAAAATCAGTTATTTCGGTCTATAAATATTGTTAATAATATTTTAAAGTTGAATATATGTTTTGTGTTACTGTTTTGAGCTAAACTTTTTGCATCTGTGTTTGTTTTAACCATGGAGCCCACATGCAGTTAACTCTCACAATAATTTGTTGTTAACCGCAAGAATTAAAAACGATTACATAAAAAATATAGTTTTTATTTTTAAAAACAGTCAAAGATTAAGACTTAAATTAGTCAAAGATAAATTTTGTTTCACTATTTATTACATTACTTTTTAAATTTAATTTAATTAGATTAATAGAAATATATGTAAGTCAGAGCGCAATTATCAAATAAAATACGAAACGAACGTGAAATTGTCTACAGACAAAATTGTACCTATCTATTATAAATAATGACATCAATTTAAAACTTAAGACGACTTACCCTCTTGCACCGGAAGTGCCGTGACGTCACTGCGAAAAAAATTGAAGAGGCTGAAACGAACGGGACTCTTGAGCCGTCTGCAGATTCATCTAATGGTTTTCGCGGATGGACATTTTCGAAAATTGCCGCGACATGTGACACTTTTTCCGTTCATTTGCACGATAACGACAATTTCGACCGATTATTTTTGTTATTAACTCAGTTGGCGGTGCGCGCGCTTTCAAATCTCGGGCGTCTTGATGCGGTGGACGCTAGAAATGAGACTGCTCGAGTCTGAGTGTCGACTCGATAAGGTTGTTAGTAAATTTGCCCTTCCTCAGATGCGATTTGATATGCAAATTATTTATTTGTGTTCTTCCAACAGCGTGACAATATGATATAATAAAATATCGAATTTATTGAATATTGTCGCTTTACAAATTAGATAGACCGACAAAATAACTTTTTGTTTTTAGCCAAAGTTTAATTTTTTTATTTCAAAATACCGTAACACAAACAATTTTAGTCCGATTTTAATAAAATTTACAGAATTTGTGGCTTCATCTATCTACTTACTTTATTGTGTTGAAATTTCAACGCAATTAAATAAAAATTGTCAAAATGTCGCCTAAAACAACAGCGCGTATCAAAATTTAAAATTGGTGATTTCAGAATTTATTAGAATAAAAAAATATTTTATCGAAAAAAATATTATGATTTATAAGTGGATGTGCATACAAATTGTTAACTAGGTAGGTACTTATTTATTTTATCGTATCGATAAAAAAAATTTAATTCCCAATGGTAATAAACTTCAATATTCTGTGAACAAACTATTATCTTATACTTAATGTGTAGTCAAATTATCACATATTAAATATCAAAATTTTAGAATACATAATTAGTATAATTCAAGGCCAAGTCAAGGTTTTGATCCTCACTGCAGTGTAGATTATTTAAATTGTATTGATTGATTTTTTAAACATTTAAAAAAAATTTATTAATTATTATATTAATAGGTTTTATATTAAAAAAAATGTGTAGGTACCTATATGTTCAAACTTAAGTTTGAACATATAGGTTTTAATTAAAACTTAATAAAAAGTATTCTACAATAAAAAGTATAATCCGCATGGTCTAGGGTCTAGGAAAAGAAAAATGTTTTTTATTACAATTGTCAAATTAATTAGGTAACTTAATACAATGTTGCGCCAAAAATATTGTCCTATAATAAATAAATACACATTTTATAATAATATTAGGTATTCTGTTTTTGTTATAATTATATATAAGTTTTTTTTCAGATATGTAAGTATAAATATATATAAATATATTTTAAGAGTTTACAGGGGTGAGTCGAAAACAAATGGGTATACCCATTTGTTTTCGACTCACCCCTGTAAAATCTTTAGTTATTGTGCGATTTTAACCGGATTTGTTTTAAAGTCTAGATCTTGTTAAACTGTATTTTTGGACCAAAAAAAGCCATCTTTTTACAAAATACAAGGCCTACTATTTCAGTTTTTAAGAGTAAATTTTTAAGAATTCAAATTAGCGATTTTTTAAACAAAATCTAAGCACGGCACTGGATTCACCACCCCTCAAAGAGACCCGATACCAAATTTTATTGAAAAATTTTAAGTAGAAAAATCAAGTTATCCATGAAAAAACATTAAAATAAAATTAAACTAATAGTAACATTGTACTTTGTATATAAAAAAAATTGAAAAAACATTTTTCTTTTTTTTTTCGTTTTTTTAACTAAGTACTAATACAAAATACCTACATTGAAAAACATTAAAATATCCTCGAAAATATCTTATCAGTTCAAAGTTTGTTATGAAATTTATGTTTTTTTGCTGTTAAATTGTAAACGGTTGACTTTTTAATCTTTAATTTCCTGTTATACTGCTAAATTAAATTTGGTTTTTTTTGCGAAAAAGGGCCAAAATTGCTTGATTGGATTAAAAAAAATCATAAAATATGAAAAAAATACAGAGAAAAAAACTGAATAAACCAAAAAAAAACGGCCTTTTTTTACGTTACATCTCGTTGTAGGAGTACTTTGGTGTCATTATTATTATTGGTTAAAACCAATTATAATTACTTGTTGAAAAAAATAATAGCGAATTTAATATAGCTTTGTACAAGTAGGCAACCCAGCATACGTCTTCTGACAGCGCCCTCTATATGCGATAGACTTAGTTAAGAACTGTCAGAAACTATTTAAAACAATACATACTTTATTACTGAAATTTTTTTTACAAGATAATTAATATATACCTTAATCAATTAATTAATTTTAAACCTACATATTTTGTTATTTACAACTACTTAAGTAGTGTCTTCTTCTTCATCAATTAAATGATCCAATTTCAACTCTTTTACGCTACCTTTTTTAATAGCCCTATTCTTCTTTTCTTTCTTCACTTTCTGCCCCACTACATACTCAGGCATTACGACTTTAGAACTTCTAAAAGTGGGTTTTTCTTCCTCTTCTACTTGCACAGGTTTTTTATTAATTTTATGGTGCCTTTTAAACACAATTTTGTTTGGTGAGTCTTTCTCCGATTCGTCGGATTGTTCAGCAGCGCTCCTCCTCTTCTTCAAGTCGTCCAAAAACGATAAAGCAGCCTTAGTATTGCTTCTTTCTGAACAGTCTTCCTCCCGAACATCCTCCAAGGAATACCTGGTCCACTTATGGGGGTTCTTCTTAAAATCCGGCATCCTGTTGTTGTAACCCTTCGGCACGGGGTTCTGCGGCTTCTTGAATATACTCTCCTTACCCCGGAACTGCCTGGTTGCAGAGCGATACGACTTTTTGTCGATAGGTTTTTCGTCGGTTTCCATTGGCTGTGGAGCCGCATTTTTGTTTCTAATACTCTCCAAGGCGTTCAATTGATCGAAAACGTTTTTCTGGCGTTCCCTGAAATTGCTGTCATCAACTTTTAAGTTGAAAGTGTTTTTCGAATCGACCATCTTTGTTTACGGTCAGCTGTCAAATTTTTAGGTTATGTGCACCAGTGTTGCCAATGTAAAATATTAATATTATACCCCAGTGATCTGGATATATAGGCCACCATTTTTTTAATTCAGAGAAGATTAAACTAAATTCAGAGAAGATAAAACTAAATTTTTACAACAGCAGGGTTCACCGGACCCAAAAAATCGACAGTGAATTCCGTTATTTGGTCATTACTTGGAAAGCATATTTTTTTTACTTTTTACATTGTAATTTTGTCCAAATAACAGGATTTAAAAAAATCTGCAGTTCTCGAAAATGCCAATTGGCAACACTGTGCACCCTTCGTGGTTTTTTATGGTTATGTGTAAAATATACAAAATCTTTGGTTATAAGCTAAAAATGAAATTCCTAGCGAGAAACCCGATAAACGCGGAAATCCACGCTATAATTTAAATGCACTGTTCCGAACGTAATCAATGACGTAACCGTATATAAGCAAATAACCTCGTTGCGCTTATATCATTAAAAGCGTTCAAGTTCGTGGAGAAAGTAGCGTAAAATGCAACGTCTATTGTCTGTGATATTATTTAGACTAATTGTGGAGTAAATGCGAATATGTCGCTTAAAAGTGCAGCTGTTTTGACCGTTAGTGATCTCTATTTACAGGGGAAGCAGGAACAAAGTTTTAACTTGATTTTAGAGGATTTGAATGGTTTGGATTATGAGGTTGAAAAGTACGTTTGCGTGTGCGAAAATAAGGAAAATTTAGCACAGGAAATTCAGTTACTTTCTCAAACTACAGACATAATAATTGTGATTGGTTTATTGGAGACTGGTTGTATTTATAAAGGGGTTGCTTTAGCTTTATCACAGGAGTTAGGTGAGAATGATAAGTTAATAAATATTATTGATCGGTTAAAGGGAAGCCATAAAAAAGAGGAAGTGAGTTTACCCTTGTTTGCAAGATTATTAACTTCCGAAAATGCCTCATTTCCTGTTATAGAAGTTAGCCGAATTTATGTACTTAATGTTAATTGTTTTGAAGAGCTTTATTTCAACATTTTGAAGAGTTATTTAGTGCAATACAAAAGAAAACCGACATTTACCAAAGCCATATACATACAGTTAAATGGAAATACAAAACAAAACGTTTTAAAACACAAAGGCTGTAGCACAGAAATAACTTTTTCAGAAGACAATTCAAGATTAGTTTGCACAGCAACATCTAATAATTTTAGCGATATTGTTGAGTTTGAGCAGAAATTAAGAAATTCCCCAAATATTCCCTATTTGGGGTCATGTGATTCCAGTTGTGAAAATCCCTTAGATTATTTAAACACCAAAGAAAATGTTCAACAAACATTGCAGGTAATTTAAATAAATACTACATAATTCTTATCATGACTGTTTAATTATTGTATTAGTTCACCTTTTATCTCTATTGTTTTTTTCTATGTATTCTGAATGGGTTTTAAGTTAAAAAAAAATAATGTGAATCCTTTTTTATAAAAAATAATCAATAAAAGAAAAACACTTATAAAATTATATATTTTTTGTATTTTAAAAGGTAAAAATCATTTTTTCATTTTATAATACTTCATGGCATTTTGTATTAGGTTGCTTTTATCTTTACTTGATAGTAAAACAAAATAAATTTCCTTATATTATTTGTAAATTAATATAGTGGCATCGCTCTTGTGGTTCTAAGGAATGTAGGCAACTAACATTACAAGTGGACGTAATGCTGGTTGCGTTAGGCGATTTTTAAGCATTTGTAACTCTTTCGCTTATATAATATTGCTAAGATTTTCCTTTTCAGTACATAGAAGAAAGCCTGACAACTTACGGCACGGAAAACATATTTCTTAGTTTCAACGGCGGAAAAGATTGCACCGTCTTATTGCACCTCTTTGTAAACCTGCTGAAATTAAAGTTTCCCCATTACGATCAGAAAATTTTCTGCCTTTATGTTAGGAGCGAGAATGCTTTCCCAGAGCAGGACGTTTTTATAAGGGAGTGCGGGGTTTTTTACAATTTGGAAGTTCTAACGATTGTCGGGTCAATTAAGGATGCATTGCATCAAGTTTTGGAAGACAGGCCTAATTTTAAGGCATGCCTTATGGGAACCAGGCGGACGGATCCCTATTCCAGCAATCTCAGCGTTTTTCAGGTAGTTATCACAAAAGTGAATTTGACTATAATTAACAACTGTTTATGTTGTTTTTAATGTAAAGTTTGTTTTTAAATAAAATTTAAACAATTTTTTAGCTATTTATTTTAGAAATTGAATAATTTTTTTAGATGACAGATGTGAATTGGCCGCAAATAATGAGAGTGAGTCCAATTTTGGACTGGCACTATTCAGAGATTTGGGACTATCTCCTATATTACAAAGTCCCTTATTGTAAATTATACGATTTGGGATACACATCTCTGGGAAATTCCTTAAATACAATAAAAAATCCTTGTTTAAAATATACACAATGTTCCACAAGCAAAGAAAACTATTTACCAGCCTACAGAATGTTAAATGAGGTAAAAGAAAGAAGTGGTAGAAATATACAACATATACAAAAGTAAATAGAATTTATTTAAACATTATTTATTGTAAAAAATCCGTACTTATATTAAAATTTTTGACCTGTTTTTAATTGTTTTAATAAATATTTAAATTATACAAAACGTTTAATTAATTCCTTGATATCAAAATAAGTAAAAATAATAGTTTTGAAAGTCTTACTTTCTATTAAAACTCTCAGAATAAGACTTACCAAGTCTGAAAAAGTATTCAGAATAATAGCAATATTTGGGAGTCTTCTGAAAGAGTATAACTATTATTATAATAAGACTTTTAGAAGAGAAATGGTAGGGTTAGCTTTGACCAAAACTAATGATAACTTTACCTAATATGATTTATATTTTAAGAAGTCTAAGAAAAAATAATTGTTGGACAAACATAACCTTAAAATCGAATATTTTTATATTTTTAGTCGTCTATAAAATCGCCGACAACTGCATTTTCAATGACAAAATATACCTACGAATTCATGGCAACATATTATATTTATATGGGTCATTCCATATCAAATCACCAAATTTTAAAAATTGTATTTTTTGATTCAGTTAAATTTTTGTTATGTTTTTGTATCAAAAGACGCCAAACCTACATTTTGAACCCTTAATTTTCAAAAACCCTGAAGATATGAATTTTTGAAAATCGGTTACGATAATTTAAGCAGGAGTTATGAATTTTCAAAAATTCATATCTTCGGGGCTTTTGAAAATTAATTGCTCAAAATTAGGGTTAGGCGTCTTTTGATACGTACAAAAACATATCAAAAATTTAATTGAATCAAAAAATACACTTTTTAAAATTTGGTGATTTGATATGGAATGACCCATATATATATATTATGTAATATGTGTAAAGTTTACACTGTAAACTCATAATTCTTGTTTCAACAAAAATAATTATTATTATGTAATATGTGTAAAGTTACACTGTAAACTCATAATTCTTGTTTCAACAAAAATAAGAAAAGTTCACATTATTGTTAATTTAAATTAACTTAAATGGCATTAACATTTTTTAGATTAATCCTGGAACACCCTTTATAGTTCAATGGATAAATCTCTAGCAAGTGGAGATAAATCCTGTCAATTCAAGCAACACTAGATAAATCCATTTTGTTTTTTACACATAATGCAAGTTGACAAAAAATTAAAAAAATGTTTTCAGGTCTTATAACACTATAGAATACATTTTGTGTAAATGTTGCAGAACGAAAAATATCTAATAGTTTTTCGCTGATAACTTCAAACGGATTTATCTGCTTTTGTAATAATACATAATATAATACCGGTTCTTGGTATTTTAATGTTGAGTGAAGACGCTTTTAATAATGCTAAAGTTTGAATTTAGACGACTTATTTGTTTTATGATTTTTACTGAATTAAAATGTTTACAATTTTCACGTAAATCATTACCTACTAAAATGTGTATTTATTGTACCCATCTAAAAGGTACAATTTATATTTACATGGTCTATATGCAATTTATTCCTTCATTCGGATTTCTACTGTTTATTGGGAAATCGGTAAAAACTTAACCCAGGATTTCCTCTCGAAAAACAACCAACAACACAACAAATCGTGCCACGGTCTTTTTCCCGATATTTTAACATCGTGTTTTTCAGCTGCTTATTAAAAGCTAAATTCTGGTTACGATGGTGGCGCTACTAGCGATGCTTCTTTAGCGTATTTTTCATAAAAACTATATTTTAAACTGTTTTTAATACGTAAAAATTTATACTTAGGTTCTTTTATAAATATACTTAAGATATTGAAATGGCTGTTCTCCTGACAACAGCACTGAGCAGCTCATTCTTATCAGGCTGTTCTGTCATAATATTAACCTTAACCCACTGCCTCGTTTGAGAGGACTGCCTTATAGCACTTAAAACTGCCTGCACGTAAAGCCCGTCCTCGAAATTGGCAGCCGAACACACAGGCTCCTTAATCCAGCCCGCTTTTTCGTTGACAGGCAAAAAGGCCTCTCTAAGGGCGGAAACCATCTTGCAAATGCCTTTGACGAAGGTTTTCGGGAGGATGGAGTTGGGCACAGGGCACTGCAAATCTTCAACGTCCAAGTAGATGACTTCTTCGTTGCTTTTCTGCCGTTTACCGAACAAATCGCCGCCTCTGACCACCAGGTGCCCGGTGCTGCTGCAAATCATCACTTCCTGCTGAAAACTGTGCCCGACCGTGTGACTGTTCAACGTGGCGGTCACCAAAACCCCACTTTCCAGCTCCATTTGGAAGGTGCAGAAATCGGGGGCCGATATGTGTCGTATACCGCTGATTTTCTCTGTGCTTTTTGTGAACGTTCTCACCACACCATGAACTCTAACTGCCTTTTGTCCTGTTAGAAACGAAACCAGGTCTACCACGTGACTGCCTATCAAATTTAACGTTCCACCGCCCATGGTATCGTCGCATTTCCAATCGAAACTGTCCGCTTCAGTAAACAGAGAACCACTTTGTATACGGATATCGATTAACGTTACTGGCGACTCCAGATAGCTCTCGTTCAGAGTTTTCTTCATGTGCGTGAACGCGGGTAAAAATCTGAACGAGTGGTTTATGAGGGAAATCAAGGAGGGGTAGTACTGGCCCGCTCTGACCATTTTGAGGGCGTCAGCTTGACTTAAACCGGCGGGTTTGTCGCACACGATGTGTTTTCCGATCCCCAAGGCTTTAACGGAAATCTGGGCGTGCAGGTTCGGAGAGCACAGCACGAAAATTAAGTCGACGTCTTTTCTGAGCAGCACATCGTCGATTTTGTTCGTGAAGAACGGTATGTTTAATTCTTTCGCCGCTTCTTGCGCATCCTGCAGCAATCTGCTCCATATCGCTTCTATTTTGAAGCCGTTCTCGCGCAGAATCGGCACCAGCACTTTCACTACGGCCCCCGTGCCGAAAACACCGATTCCAGGCAGCATTTTCCACAAACAACGAACGGGAATTTGTTTACCTCTAAACGTCAAACTATGACGTTTCGCAGCTGGTCATTTGAACTACTTAGTTCGGGGTGGTAACCATAGATAAAAGACTGGTGGTAACTAAGTAGTTCAAATGACCATCCAAAAGATACTTTGTGGGGAACGACCAAACCTGTATGCAGTTTAAATAATCGACCAAAACTATGCAGTGATATTTTGTTTGTTTTTTACAATTTTGGTTTATTATTATTACTTACTTTTTAAGCATGTATTTCTCCATGGATATAAAATTACTAGAAAGTTCTAACCTAAAAAAACTTTGTCCTAAACTATAATTCGTGATGTGCAGGTCTGTTTATATTGCTCGTGTAAATTAAAGTCATGGAAAAATCGTTTAGGGTTATAATTAATCTAAATTATTTCTATCAAGATCATAGATCGATTGCGATGATTTTTATTAATGAAAATATTAATAAAATCGAAAATCTTGAACAGAAAGTTCGTGAAATTTTTGGGATCGATCAGTTTTATTTAACATGCCAGAATCGCTTTTTGCCATCCTGTGAAGACGTGAGAATATTGCAGAAGGATGATTTATTATGGTAAGAGTATGTGAAGGATAAAAATTAAATCAAAACTTTTCAAATAAAGCAGCTGAGGTTGACATTTGTGTTTTTTTGAAAGTTTATAAAAAATTTATCAAATATAGATTTTTGTTGTAGGGCAATTCCAAAGGGATACTATGTGGACACAGTTGTATACAGAGGAGAGCATGTTGTGGAAGAAATAGAAAAAAATACACCAAAAAAACGCAAGGAAGATGTGGTAGAAAAGGTTGCCGAAGGAAATGAAAAAGTATCAAGAAAGAAGAAGAAAAAAATGGAAGGGGTCGCCCAGATACATGAAGATGAGATCATTGAAGAAGACCCAAAACCCCAACAAGAAGAACAAAATCTCAAAAACACGGAAAAAGTGGGGAGACTTCGCCCAATTTTTAGTTTTTTTAATCCATTTCTCTCCTTAGAATATATTTCTGATTTCTTTAGAATGCATTACATTATAACAACCTTGGCACAAACATTATTACTCAAGTAGTGAAAAAAAAACGCAAGTATTTTTAATGAATTAAATGTAACACAAAAATTGGGTGGACCTGCTAGCGCAAGGAGTGGGGATTTTTCGCGGCATTTTTTGATAAGTACTATATTACTTATTTAAAGATATATATTTGGTTTTTTTGGCTACAACTACGAAGTACATATTACTTTATTGGTATTATGTTGAGAAAATAAAAATAGCATTAAAATTAAATCTATTTTATTTACACATACCTACCTACAGTGTGACCCATTTGTTTGCGACTCACCCCTGTAAAATCTTTATTTATTGTGCGACTTTAACCGGATCTTGATAAACTGCATTTTTGGAGCAAAAAACGCCATACTTGTACAAAATACAAGGCCTACTATGTCAGTTTTTAAGAGTAAATTTTTAAGAATTCATATTAGCGATTTTTTTAAACAAAATCTAAACACAGCACTGGATTCACCACCCCTCAAAACGACCCTATACTAAATTTTATTGAAAAATGTTAAGTAAAAAAAATGCACAATAATAACTACAAAAATTTATTCACTCACTGGTTTTATTAAATAAACTACAACCAGGTGTATGTATCTCATATACTTACCAAGTATATGAACTAAAACCCTATCGCTATCTAGTGTGCTGTGAAGATACGCCGTACTATGATTGGCTATCAGTTGCGATGGAAACCACTCTCCATGGAAAATAATTTCAAGAAATGACGCCCGTAGAATAGGCAACCCAGATTGCATCTTCTCCTAAACTTTAATACTGCGCTTTTTTGTATATTTTAATTATTTTTTTATGTTTGAAAATCGTTAGTGGTAATTAATAAATTGATGAACTAATTTTAGTATTTTATTTCTTGTTTTTTAATGCTTGATCATGAAAAAGTGTATTTAATTCTGGGCCATAATGATTATTTGGAAGCTATTATAATTATGTATTACATTTAGGTCGCGAAAAAATTAAAATTTACGACCGCCTAACGTTGCCAAATGAAGGAAAGCTTGCCAAAAGGCGAACTAGACAAATCGGTAGCCAAAAATCCTTTCGCACAAATAATATTTGTAGCATGGGTCGTAAAAAAGCAGTAAATGATTGGAAATCGGCACGTAACGTTCGCAAACATTGAATCCGAGATATCCGCGAAATCTACATAATTTAATTTTGGCGGAATAGTTGTAAACAATTGCGAATCGCGACGACGCATGCGCCGTCGTCTAGCGAAAACATGGCGATAGTCGGGTAATTGCTGTAATCCGAACGAAAACAATTGAATGCTCGCCCGGATTAAACCGTAAAACGAGTTTTTTTCAATTAATCCGCCATCGTAGAATGTGAGTCCGGCTACAAAGTATGTTTGTGGATGTGTGTTTGTAAATGCGTGAGGTTTTAATTGACATTTAATTTACCACTCAATTTGCCCTTTAGTTTGTTTTTAGACAGCCCCCTAAGATTGTAATTCGGCCCTTATTTAAAAATTATTTTGTGTTTAGGTTAGGTTTTTTTATTGTAAAAAGCGTAAGAAATGTAAGGTAAATGTCACCAAAATATAGGTTAAGTAATGCAGCTGTATGTTGTTTGCGCCGTTTATTGTTATTTTTGCATAAAGTCACTGGATGCTTTCGATTGTAAAGTTAGTTAAGGTTATTAGGTGTTTAGGCGAGAGAGTGGAAAAGCAGGAAGTGACCGGAAATTGAAAATATAATGGCCTTTCGCAACGAGGAAGTTCACGTTTATTTTGGTAAGTAAAATCTTGTTTATTTGTAGTAGGTACGTGTAAACCTTAATAAATAATAGAAGAGGTTCGTCGAATTGTCTTGCATGAATAATTTATAACAAATGAATTGCGGCTACAGGTACCCCAGTAATTTTTAATGTTTCACATTGGCACGCAGTGATGTCAGGTGGGTGGGAATTAAAGTCCCCAGGCGGCGTTTTTACACGAAGTGGCAGATTTGAATTAGAGGTTCAAAAATCTCATTTTAGTTATTTCAGTCATGGCAATCACAAAATTGCAGTTAATTTATATTTTTGTATATTGTAGGTACTTGTCAAAGTCTAACTTTTTAAATATAATGTGTAAATTAAACAGATTTTTGGGGAAACTTCCCTAGAACTGACACCACCGCATTGGCAAGGTCGGCAATGCGGAAAAATCGCGTTAGAGGGCGGTGGCGGATTTCTTCCAATCATCGATTTCTCCTGCTCATTTAAATTGCAGAAAACACGCTCTTATTTATTTGCAAATTAACTATCGAAAATAAATATTTAAATTTAATTGGTTGACGTCAATGGCGGTATCAGTGTGTGTGGTTTCTTTTCCTGTGGTTAAATTTATCATGCATGTAGCATTTAATCGCCTTTTTAATATTTCATTATCATTATTATAAGCCAAGTTATTGTCTGTTGAATATTAAAAAGTGTTTTTTGATTAATACAGTTTTAATGAAGATTGTTTGTTATTTTTTGTCGATGTTTACCATTTTGTCAATTTTTTTTAATGCGTTGAAATTTTAACACAATAAGGAAGATGGATGAAGCTACAAATTGTTGTAAATTTCATTAAATTCGATAAAAAATTGTTCTTGTTACAGCACTTTGAGTTCATTTTGTTGACCAGTATATATTTTATAATATATTATATTGACGCATGTATTGTATTAAAATTAGAATTTTAATCGTATATTTATTAATATCCACACCTGGATTATTATTAACAACATACGGAATGTATTTCCCAACAATCGCAAGTCGTGGAAATTTCCTAAAAATCCTGTTTTATGTTCTAATAATAAATTCTTTTTAAGTTTTATTAAAAAAGTTAATTTTATTTATTCTTTAAAAGTGCTTCAATTTGTTGAATTGGTTTTAAAGTTACCTTAAAGGCCACTTACCATTATGCAAATAATTTACTCTTAATGCCCTATTGATCTTATACTGGTTTTATAACTCGACATTGGCTATTTTAAAACTAATTTGCCCCTTTAAAAGATTAAATAGTTGGTTTTAGAACAATCCATATTAAACCTTAACGATATTCTTTAAATAAAAAATAAAAATATTTAATTGATGGCGCCTGAGTTATGTAGAAGTATTTTATTTTGCCAGAAAAAGTGACAACCGTTGTTAAATATTTTACCAGAATAGTTTGCATTTAAATATTTTTTTCTACTCCCACCTTTAAAACGCCCTTTATCGTACATGTTTCCATGACACTAAGTGAACTTTTAAATACACATTGTAAAGTTGTGGCTTTATGGCGCTTTAGTCACAGGCTGAAGTTAGCAACAGGTTTTTAGTCACGGGCTGAAGTTAGTTTTAAGTTAGTTGACAGTTGTCAAATGTCATACAATCGTTAAAATAAAGTGCCTTTCTTCTAAAATAATACTAAATGAGAAAATTATTTTATTATCTCAATACAAAAATACAAAAGTATTAAATAGTTTCTCAACGCCAATATTTAAAAAGTTTATATGAACATTGTACTGACATTTTAATTTCACCGGCAGTAAACTATAACTTAAATTCGGGCACGGACTCTACTGTAAAGTGCTCATAAAACATTTTCTTTACTTTCACTGTGAAAAACTGTAAATTTTCAAGAAATACATTTCGATTTATAACCTTTATAATCTGAGTTTATAAAATAAAAAAAAATTGACATTTGACAGTGACACACAGATTCCCCTATTGTTTCATAGATGGCGCTCTATAAAAATTTTGATTTAAATCATTTTAAGATAATAATAAGTAGGTATTTGTCGTAGAAAAAGTATAGTATGCAACTCGTTTATAAACTTTTCTATACACTCATTAATTGAAGCACTCGCTCGCAAGCTACTCGCGCCTAAATTAAATTCGTGTATAAAATGGCGTTTATCAAACTTGATACATAATATAATATTTATGATGTGCTTTATATATTTGAAAATATTTACCCTTATAGGATTAATTATATTGATTCTAAGGTAATTTAGTTAGCTGCAAGTATATTTTAAATGGAAATAGTTTTATTACATAAATTTAAAGTTGCCTTTTAAAGAATATAAAAAAAACTAAATGGTTTTAATATAGTTTTAAAATTTAGTCTTGAAGGCCCTTTTAGAATGGGCTGCTTTATGATGGTCCTATAGGACCATCATAAAGCAGCCTTATAAGGCTGTCTTAAAGTTTATTTGGTTTTATTTAAAGTTTTATTGTATAGTTTTAAAGCGATCTTCAAGATCGCAATAAGAGCATTAGTGTTACTTGTGTAGGTAATTCTATATTATTATTTCAATTAATGTTATTACTACTTAGTAAACAGTTTTAAACCCAGGCGATATAAATATAATTAGGTAGTTAACAAAAATAACCAATATAAATATTAAGGCTTGTTATTTAAAAAACAATCTATATCCACATAACATTAAATTTGGCATCGGGCGACAACATTTTAAAATAGTATCTGACAGGCGAATAAATATAGAAAAAAGTTTAGTTTAGTTTTCGTTTAGGTCGGTAGGCAGTGTAGCAATCAAACAAATTAAAATTACACCTACTCGATATCGCAAACGTCAACTTGGCAACACTGTGTAAGTTCTAAGACGATATTATCCACAACAAGTTTTTCCTGTATCATTTTTGCATTAGTGTCATTTTTTTTTAATAAAAAATCATTAAATTTTATACTCGATTTTATATAAGTAAGTAGGTAAAGTAGAAATTTGGGCCGCCACTGGTTGTTCCTCACCTACGATTTTTCAAAATGAGTACTTTCTGCGTTTCTTTTTAGTTTTTAACTTTTTTAAATAGTGACAAAAAGTGAAAATTTAAAGAGAAGATTTCCAAATTTGGATGAAAGTCAATTTACACTTGAAGAAGTTAAGAAATTATTAATGTAATAAATGTTAAAATTCAAATTATCTTTATTTATTTCTTAAAGTGTGCTTAAGATATTTATAAAAAACATGTATTTATTTACAATAAAAAGTTATTGAACTATTTTCACACCGCGAACATCTAAGGCATTTAAAAAATAAAGACCTATTTTTTTATTAAAATATAGTTAATTATAATTTTATTAAAATATAGTTAATTATAATTAACTAATAATTATTATTAAGTCTTATTTAACACAGTAAAAAATAAAAAAATAAATATTTCTTTGTAATACAAAAGTTTTTTGATTATTTCCTCAATTAATGCTCTAGCACCATCTAAAACGCATTTAAAAAATAAAAACCGTAATGTTTTTTAATTAAAATATACTTAGTTAATTATACGAATAGGTACGTTATAATAATAATATTATTATAATAATATTATAATAAGCCTTATTTAACCAAGTAAAAAATAAAAAAAATAATATTTTTTTGCAATAAAACAATTATTGGGTTATTTCCAGAATTGACGGTCTTTGAACATCTAAAAACGAATTTAAAAATTAAACATCTTTATGTTTTTTGATTGAAATATAGTTAGTTAATTATACGTAATAATCCTTATATCGACCCATGCAACGAAGACTATTGTAACTCAGTTTTGATTGTAGACTAGAGTAACTCAACTTAATAAAGTTTTCGCCTGTAGGAATGTGGATTATTACACTAACTATACAGGGAAGTTGTTCACTGGTTGCCTATCGTTTCATGTCTGAGTTACTGTAATCTTCCACCAAATAGAGCTTGAAAAAATCTGTTGATGCCATATAGTAAGTCAAAATCCACGTTTTTGAGTTACTATAGTCTTCGTTGCATGGGTCGATATAATACATTAAAAAAAAATTATATTTATTTTGAATAAAAAAGTTTGTGAATAATTTCTGCAAAACAGTGCTTTTTGACCATAGTGCGCGTGAATAAGTATAAAAGTTTGCTTGATATTACTTAATGCACTGTGCGCATACCTGTTTCTTTTTTGCTGGGATAAATAATATCATTGTTTTTAGAAAACTTTTTTGTTTTGTCGTGTACTATCATCATTTGTATTTAGAAAACAATTGAGGCGTTTCTCGGAAAAACATCATTAGTCCAATATCGTCAAAATTTAGATATTAGCACCAACTGTTTCCTAACACCATATAGTCACGGCCAAATCTATATGGGTGCACGTCATCAATGAGATATAATGACGTCAGCATTACCAACTTTGAATTGTAAAGTTACTGCCGTTAAATTTGCTTTTTTAAGGCGTAATTCTGATGTGGTATTAAAAAGAAATCATTCATTTGCGTATTGTTTACCAAGAACTGTAACAATTTCCTTGTTTTAAAACGTTTTTTCGCGAAATTATCAAAATAAAACCATTCACTTAGTAATTTTTGTGTGTGCCAGTTGGTAATAGCTTAAGGCTG